GAACTGTGGGCGAACTATGGGCCAAGTATGGCAAAGTATTGGAGCCGAGGAAAACACTATTTTCCAATTTTTTGAACTATGGGCGAAGTGTGGGCCAAATATGGCGGAGTATGGGCAGCGAGAAATACACTTTTTTCAAAATTTTTGAACTATGGGCGAAGTGTGGGCCAAGTATGGCGGAGTATCGGAGGCGAGAATATCACTTTTCGCAAACTTTTCTGAACTATGGGCAAACTATGGGCCAAGTATGGCAAACTATGGGAGGGGAGGAAAACACATTTTTCTAAATTTTTGAACTATGGGCCAAGTATGGCGGAGTATTGGAGGGGAGAAAAACACTTTTCTCAAAATTCTTGAACTATGGGCGAACTATGGGCCAAGTATGGCGGAGTATGGGAGGCGAGAAAAACACTTTTTTCAAACTTTTTGAACTATGGGCGAACTATGGGTCAAGTATGGCGGAGTATGGGAGGCGAGAAAAACACTTTTTTAAAAAAAAATGTTTGAAATATGGGCGAACTATGGGCCAAGTATAGCAAACTATGGGAAGCGGGAAAAACACTTTTTTCAAAATTTTTGAAGTATGGGCGAACTATGGGCCAAGTATGGCAAAGTATGGGAGGGGAGGAAAACACTTTTTTCCAAATTTCTGAACTGTGGGCGAAATATGGGCCAAGTATGGCGGAGTATCGGAGGCGAGAATATCACTTTTCTCAAACTTTTCTGAACTATGGGCAAACTATGAGCCAAGTATGGCAAACTATAGGAGGGGAGGAAAACACTTTTTTCTAAATTTTTGAACTATGGGCCAAGTATGGCGGAGTATTGGAGGGGAGAAAAACACTTTTCTCAAAATTCTTTAACTATGGGCGAACTATGGGCCAAGTATGGCGGAGTATGGGAGGCGGGAAAAACACTTTTTTCAAACTTTTTGAACTATGGGCGAACTATGGGCCAAGTATGGCGGAGTATGGGAGGCGAGAAAAACACTTTTTTCAAACTTTTTGAACTATGGGCGAACTATGGGCCAAGTATGGCAAACTATGGGAGGCGAGAAAGCTCGTTTTTCAAAATTTTTGGACTATGGGCGAACTATGGGCCAAGTATGGCAAAGTATGGGAGGGGAGGAAAACACTTTTTTCAATTTCTGAACTGTGGGCGAACTATGTGCCAAATATGGCGGAGTATGGGCAGCGAGAAATAAACTTTTTTCAAAATTTTTGAACCATGGGCGAACTATGGGTCAAGTATGGCAGAGTATGGGAGGAGAGAAAAACACTTTTTTCAAACTTTTTGAACTATGGGCTAACTATGGACCAAGTATGGCAAAGGATGGGAGGGGAGGAAAACACTTTTTTCTAAATTTTTGAACTATGGGCAAATTATGGGCCAAGTATGGCAAAGTATGGGAGGGCAGGAAAACACTTTTTTCCAAATTTCTGAACTATGTGGCGAAGTGTGGGCCAAGTATGGTGGAGTATGAGAGGCGAGGAAAATACTTTTTTCTAAATTTTTGAACTATGGGCTAACTATGGACCAAGTATGGCAAAGGATGGGATGGGAGGAAAACACTTTTTGCTAAATTTTTGAACTATGGGCGAACTATGGACCAAGCATGGCGGAGTATTGGAGGCGAGAAAATGGCTTTTCTCAAACTTTTGTGAACTATGGGCAAACTATGGGCCAAGTATGGCAAAGTATGGGAGGGGAGGAAAACACTTTTGTCTAAATTTTTGAACTATGGGCGAACTATGGGCCAAGTATGGTAAAGTATGGGAGGGGAGGAAAACACTTTTTTCCATTTTTTTGAACTATGGGCGAACTATGGGCCAGGTATGGCGGAGTATGGGAGGCGAGAAAAACACGTTTTTCAAAATTTTTGGACTATAGGCGAACTATGGGCCAAGTATGGCGGAGTACGGGAAGCGAGAAATACACTTTTTTCCAATTTTTTGAAGTATTGGCGAACTATGGGCCAAGTATGGCAAACTATGGGAGGCGAGAAAAACACTTATTTCAAACTTTTTGAACTATGGGCGAAGTGTGGCCCAAATATGGCGGAGTATGGGCAGCGAGAAATAAACTTTTTTCAAAATTTTTGAACCATGGGCGAACTATGGGTCAAGTATGGCAGAGTATGGGAGGAGAGAAAAAGACTTTTTTCAAACTTTTTGAACTATGGGCGAACTATGGGCCAAGTATGGCAGAGTGTGGGAGGCGAGAAAGACACGTTTTTCAAAATTTTTGGGCTATGGGCGAACTATGTGCCAAGTATGGCGGAGTATGGGAAGCGAGAAATACACTTTTTTTAAAATTTTTGAAGTATGGGCGAACTATGGGCCAAGTATTGGCAAACTATGGGAGGCGAGAAAAACACTTATTTCAAAATTTTTGAACTATGGGCGAAGTGTGGGCCAAATATGGCGGAGTATGGGCAGCGAGAAATAAACTTTTTTCAAAATTTTTGAACCATGGGCGAACTATGGGTCAAGTATGGCAGAGTATGGGAGGCGAGAAAATCACTTTTCTCAAACTTTTGTAAACTATGGGCAATCTATGGGCCAAGTATGGCAAACTATGGGATGGGAGGAAAACACTTTTTTATAAATTTTTGAACTATGGGCTAACTATGGGCCAAGTATGGCGGAGTATTGGAGGCGAGAAAAACAATTTTCTCAAAATTTTTGAACTATGGGCGAACAATGGGTCAAGTATGGCGGAGTATGGGAGGCGAGAAAAACACGTTTTTCAAAATTTTTGGACTATAGGCGAACTATGGGCCAAGTATGGCGGAGTATGGGAAGCGAGAAATACACTTTTTTCCAATTTTTTGAAGTATGGGCGAACTATGGGCCAAGTATTGGCAAACTATGGGAGGCGAGAAAAACACTTATTTCAAACTTTTTGAACTATGGGCGAAGTGTGGGCCAAATATGGCGGAGTATGGGCAGCGAGAAATAAACTTTTTTCAAAATTTTTGAACCATGGGCGAACTATGGGTCAAGTAGGGCAGAGTATGGGAGGCGTGAAAATCACTTTTCTCAAGCTTTTGTAAACTATGGGCAATCTATGGGCAAAGTATGGCAAACTATGGGATGGGAGGATAACACTTTTTTCTAAATTTTTGAACTATGGGCGAACTATGGGCCAAGCATGGCGGAGTATTGGAGGCGAGAAAAACACTTTTCTCAAAATTTTTGAACTATGGGCGAACAATGGGCCAAGTATGGCGGTGTATGGGAGGCGAGAAAAACACGTTTTTCAAAATTTTTGGACTATAGGCGAACTATGGGCCAAGTATGGCAAAGTATGGGAGGGGAGGAAAACACTTTTTTCTTTTTTTTTGAACTATGGGCGAACTATGGGTCAAGTATGGCAGAGTATGGGAGGCGAGAAAATCACTTTTCTCAAACTTTTGTAAACTATGGGCAATCTGTAGGCCAAGTATGGCAAACTATGGGATGGGAGGAAAACACTTTTTTCTAAATTTTTGAACTATGGGCGAACTGTGGGCCAAGCATGGCGGAGTATTGGAGGCGAGAAAAACACTTTTCTCAAAATTTTTGAACTATGGGCGAACAATGGGCCAAGTATGGCAAAGTATGGGAGGGGAGGAAAACACTTTTGTCTAAATTTTTGAACTATGGGCGAACTATGGGCCAAGTATGGCGGAGTATTGGAGGCGAGAAAAACACGTTTTTCAAAATTTTTGGACTATAGGCGAACTATGGGCCAAGTATGGCAAAGTATGGGAGGGGAGGAAAACACTTTTTTCCAATTTTTTGAACTATGGGCGAACTATGGGCCAAGTATGGCGGAGTATGGGAGGCGAGAAAAACACGTTTTTCAAAATTTTTGGACTATGGGCGAACTATGGGCCAAGTATGGCGGAGTATGGGAGGCGAGAAAAATACTTTTCTCAAAATTTTTTAACTATGGGCGAACTATGGGCCAAGTATGGCGGAGTATAGGAGGCGAGAAAAACACTTTTCTCAAAATTTTTGAACTGTGGGCGAACTATGGGCCAAGTATGGCGGAGTATGGGAGGCGAGAAAAACACTTTTCTCAAAATTTTTGAACTATGGACCAAGTATGGCAAAGTATGGGAGGGGAGGAAAACACTTTTTTCAAAATTTTTGGACTATGGTCGAACTATGGGCCATGTATGGCAAAGTATTGGAGGCGAAAAAAACACTTTGTTCAAAATTTTTGAACTATCTGCGAACTTGTTTTTCCCCTTGATCTTATTGACCTTTAGGTCAAAAGTGATATAAAATTTGATAAAAAATTTAATGTTATGTTCGTCTCTAACTATAGGTAAAAAATTACCTTAAATTTCTAAATCTACTTACCTGGATAGATTTATAGAAAAGTGCTCTTTGAAATTTTCATGTGAATTCTTATTGGCAATTGTCGAAAGGTTATTGAAAAGAGAAATTTCAATATAATTATGTAAAAAACAAATACTTTTTACAAAAAAAGGAAAAAACTTCTAATGAAAATCGAAATTCTAACGGAATTTCTAATTAGCACGTTCCATTGAATCTTTCCACTTGTGATAATAATGATAATTATCAAAAAATTTCTTTTTATAGCTTACGTTCAGTGAAAGAAGAAAGGGGATGTAAGTTTCACGAGGGAGGAGTGGACAACCGTCATTAATAACCTCATACAAACGTTGCGCCACCCCAAAATTAAGAAAAATTCATTATATTTTTTTCAAATTAATTAAATTAAAGAAATTAAAATTTATTAAAATTAATTGTTATTATTAATTATTGTTACTATTCATTATAACTTCAATAAAAAATCAATATAATTATTAGAGGCACGAGACATTTTTTATTTAATCGTCATTATAAATTGAAACCAGATTAATTTTGTTAATCAAATTTTTATTAAAAATAATTAACATTTTTCTAACTTAAAAAAATATATTATCAATATATTAATATTTTCTTTAATGAAAGGAAATTTATTTGTAACATTATTTTTGTTTAGTATTTTCTTGTGTTTAATTTCGTTTATTGTTCTTTTTTTATTTATTTCTGAAATTAACTTCTTTAAATCTATTAATGTTTATTAAATTTTTTTCATATTTTATATATTAAGCCAAATTAATTTTCTATCCAACAATTTTCAATTAAACAAATATTTTTCTTCTTCAAAATCTTGTCTTGTTACCATTAACACCGAAATGCTTCGTATCAAATTCTTCGACCAAATTCTTTAAGTGAGTCAATTTTCCATGCAAATAATCGTGTCTCGTGTTACGTTGCTTGAAGACCGGATCGTTATTCATATTGTAATCTTTAAAAATTTTTATTTTTATCTGAAATGTAAAAAATTTTGTAATATACTTTTTGAGAATTAAAATTCAATTGGGAGAAACAAAATTCATAAATCTGTAATAATTTACAAAGAAATCTACAATTTTTCATTGTCTTTTAAATTAGTTTTGAAACGAAGGTAAATCTGTTAACTTTAAATAATTCCCGAAGTTTGAATTTTTTTCATCTTTTTTAAGAATCCAATACCGTTAAAAATCGAAAAAAATCAAGAAAATTTATATAAAATGTTTTTGTGCATCAAACACAAATTTTACGTTTTTTTCTGCTTGTAAGTTCTTATAAATTATAAGTAAGCTCTAAAAGATGAATTAGAAATTGAGTGATTTTACAAAAATTATTTCCATGAATTATCAAATTTTACTAATAAATATCCGACAAGGACTCTGGGGGAAATATAAATTGGCTCAAACAAAATATAAAAAATATTTTACTTTATCTATTTAGCAAAAAATATTTCAAACAATTACCTTGAGTTCTTGAAAATTCCCCTGAGCTTTCACTATATTATATTGCTGCTGCCACTTATAATATCGACTTTTACTGTTAACGTATTTTTATAATTGTTTATATTCCGGACAAAGATTGTTGAATTCCTCTTTATAATGTCTCCTCTGTTCGTAGTTGCTGTCTTTCGTATAATAACTAAAAATTCAAAACACAAAATTGTCGTTATAAATCTGATTTCCGTAAATCGACGAGTAAAAACCGAAGAAAAAATAAAATGAGAGGAAAAAGAAATCTTAAAATCGAAAAGAAAAAAGCCTGTTTTTAACAAAATTGTCTAAATCACAGTTTTACTGTAAAAGACAAATAATTAAAAATTAGTGATAAAAAATAATTATTTCAGTATGTAAACAAAGTTCCACATTTAATTGACGGGGAAAATACTGAAATCATAAGAGAATTATTGGTTTTATTTTCCAAATATAAAAACATCATTTGTGTTATTGTTTACATTTTTCTAACCTACATGTTGTTTGAAAGTGTTACTCACCTGCAATTGATTGCATAATCCTTTTATCAATCACTTTAACATTTAATTCCCGAACACATTTAATTATTTTAACACTCGGAATTATTTCTAAAACATTGAAGAATTTACAAAAGCCGCTATCGAAAAAACCAACCGATCAAAACAAACTTTTCTAGTGATGACCATTGATGACACCTGATCATTTGGCAGATCTGTCGGCAAAGAGTACGAAAATACAAGACTAACCGCAAATATTCATTTTCTAGCAGCAACTTCAAGTGGAAGGCATTTGTACGTTTTACTGTACATATAACATTTTTCCAAAAAAAAAATTTATTTCCGTGCCTAAAAGTAAGTTCACTTTTTTTTCTTTTTTATCGAATAACAAACTTGACAAAAACATTATTGCTGCATACAATAATAAACAATTTACTTTCTAATTTTTATAGTAATTATATTGAAAAGTACATGCGCATGCAACGCGAAAAGTCAAAGCATTTATTATTTTCTTCCTTTACTTACAAACCACTACCACCCCACAGTGAAGTTAATCGATGCCAACCTGTACTTTGAGAAAAATGGCAATTCCCATGTTTGAATAACAATTCAAGAATCAAGAAACACAATATACAAGCAAATGTATATAAATTATAGCTTGTACATTTTTTAATTATCTTCTGTTTATGCTGATGAAATTTTATTTAAATTAATAAATTCCAATGTTTGTTGTAAATATATATCAAAAATTGTTATATTTGCTGTAATTTGTATCAAAATACACGAGCTGATTTTTTTACAAATCTATTTATTTATTGAAACCCTGAATCTTCCTTCTTGATTTATATTTTTTATTATTCAAATAATAATAAAAAAAAAAAACGATTGCTTTAAATAATAAAATAATATTGACGGGGGGGATAAAGAAAAGTTTTATGAATAAAAAGTTAAACTGTTTTCCAATTTGTTGTGAAATCTGTCAATGTTAAACTTAAAATAGCGTGTGTGCGCTTACGAATCATATCCGAATTTAGATTTGTATTTTCGTGAAGTATATTTGAATATATATGATTTAACAACTTCAAATATACGCCCATTTTTTATGTATACAAATTTCGATAAAATCCAAAATGAAATATTACAATAAATCTTATCTTGATGTACCATTTTTTTTTTTAAATTGTGAAAATGTCTTTTTAACACGATTGTTTCACATAAAGTCAAAATATAGTTTTATCACATTCCAAGGGAGCGCAGCTTTCGCTTTTTCACATATATAGTGTAGTACTCTTAAAACTTTTTCATGTTTTATCTTTCACTTTTGCCAAGGAAACACTGCACTTTTTATATGTGATATATTATTTTCACATTTAAAAAAATAAAATCACTTCTTTATTTTACAATTATAAATTTAAAAATTTAAAAAAAAAGAAGTCAACTGAAATCTTGGCTAAAAAAAAGAAAAATAAATAACATGTAGTTTCACATAAGAAATATGTGCATCTTCAAAATATATATTATTTCTACTGCAATTATACATATTGTCTGAATAAAATTTCACTATTTTCTCAGCTTCTCTTGGCACGATTATTCTTCTCCTTTATATAGAGATTTTACTTCTACAAAGAGAAACTGTAATGAAATGCTTAGAATTTATACATATATATCTGCTAAATTCTTCCCACCTGGGGGGTGTAAAAGCACAAAAGGTGAATACTAGATTTCACGCGTGAAAATTAATCCTTTTTATAAAAAAAAAATCGAGCAATTTTTAATTTAAAACATTCCAAAAAATAAGTTAATTTTTTTTTATTTTTCATTTAAAAAAGAAAAAATAAATTTCTTCCGCATTAATAAATATTTAAAAATAAAATTACAATCGACAAATAATAGATTAAGATTTTGTTAATGGAAATTGTCGATCATGTGAGTCGGAATTATCGAATTCTTTCTTCATGTTCGGAGAGAGGTCTTGAGTTCAGAGAAAACCAGTTAATTCTAATTAAACTCCCTCGCAAACGGTTAAAAGTTTATCATACATAAAATAGATAATTTCAGAACGATGTTTACTCATCTTTCCAAATTTTCAACAATAGGTCTTTTTTTTTTAATCTAAATATTGTAAAATTTCGTTTTCTTTTTCATTTTTCTCAGAATTTTAATATTGAATATCGATGTTAAAATATCATGTAATTATGGTCAGAAGGAATTTTTATAAAGTCATAAAAATTGAAACAATTTCAGTAAATTTTTCATTTTAAAAAAAAGTACATTTTGCGAAATTTACAAAATTTATTTAATATATTATTAATAAATAAGTAGGTATATTAAAAGTTTACAACAAAAGTTGAATTCCTGTCTGTTGGAATGCAGCAATTTCATAATTGTATTTTCATTTCGAAAACTCAAACTTCTTTCTCATTTATATAGGTACAAACCGCTATAACCTATATAGATATCATTCAATTATAGTTTAACTCTCGCGGCTCCATGAAAAAGAAATTAAGATTTCCCCGGAGGAACTGAGTGCCAAAATAAAAATTTTACGTCTTTACATTAATATAAAAGAATTATCTTCACGATATTATACTTAGTTTTATAATTTTTTAATAAATTTGACAGAAACGATTTTTGAAGACTTATTATATAATTTTGATCTAAAAGGGCCGATTTTTATCATAAAAAAAAAGTTTAAAAAAAGTAAAACCCATTTTTTAAACACGCATTTAAAATTTTTAATCACACAATCTATATATGTCATATAGGGAACTATTTGATAAAGGATGAAACGAATTTCAAGGGTTTGCTTCGTAAATAATCCTATACTATACAAATCAATAAATAACCCGTATATTTGTCATTGCTCAAAAAAAATATATGTAGGATATATAGAAAACTTTAGAGAAACCTGGGGGCGTTTAGAAAATACCCTACATAAAAAATGAATAAAACATTTTCCAAGACTTTTTACAGGACATGTTTCTATTTGTTTTCTTTAAAAAGTTACAATACTTTTTACTTTTTCTTAGAATTTTTAAACACTGAGAATATATTTTTAAAGTTTAAATACTGGGAGAAAAAAATATTTTTGAAAATTTATCATTTGAATCTCTAGAAAATATTTTTTAGCTAGTTTCAAAAACATTTAAAATTTTAATTTTAACACTCGACAATTTTTGTTCTATTTTTAGAAACTTATTTTGATCACAGGAGTAAAAAAAAATTATTTATCATTAAAAATTGTTAATTTTAAATTATTCAATTTGAGAAATTGACTCAGAAATAAGTTGAATTTTTGTTTTCAAATCGGAAAAAGTCGTACAATCAGAGACCTGTCTTTATAAAAACTTGATATGCATTTAAATTTTACAAGCGAGAATGGAGTTATTTTCCACTTTTAAGTGACTTTGCTGGGGGCACAACATATATTGAAAATCACTGAAAGCTCCAATGCTGGAAGGCAAACATATCTGCTTTTATCTAAGAGACCTCGGCCTAATCGGTATTCCATGTGGCACGTCGCTGTTAAATGCGATATATAAAGAGAAGAGAGAGAGGGAGAGAGAGTGAGAAAAATCATTTATATATATATAAAAAAAAGATTGAGAGGCAAGTGTGCGAGAATATCGCGTATAATTATTATTGAAGACCCCCCGTGGTTGTTGCATCATTTCTCCTCTGACATATGACCTCAACAAACATGACGGAAAATATTTGTCTACAAGAATTCCGATAATGATTATAATTTGATGAGTGTTTCATTTTTCCAATTTCTTAATAAACTTTTTTTATTGACTAAAATCTGTGCAAATTTTATATCGAAAAAACGAAACTAAAATTATTTTTTTGCAATAGAATTATTTTTATTTACATTATTAGTATTATTATCTAATTATAATTATTCTAAAATTTTATTAATGTATTGTCATATAAGGGAAAATAATTTTAAATTTTACACCAAAAATAAGTTAAAATTTCTTTTTCACAATTTCCCTTTGTGTAGATGACAATCGATTTCTTGTACGCGGACTTTTTTCATAGTTTGAGTGATTTTTAAAACAAGCAGAATATTTATCTGGTGCCACTCTCAAGATGAAGAAAAATTTTTCCATACTTTTGACATAAAGAAGGTTCATTAACACTTCAAGAGTTCAAAAGCGTTAAATAAAAACTGAAAAAAAATTGACTATGAAAAGTTAACCTATTTCTAAAGAAGATAATGGTCCATTGTTATAAGGTGTTAACGAAATTGAAAAAGGGGTTGTACAAATTCTGTTATCTCGCTCTTTGCGGAAAATATCTAATTAAAAATCTCAAATTGTAAACGGAGTGGTTTTACACCTTGTATGTAAACTACTTTCCACACATGTAATTTTATTTTCTAATTATTATTTAACAATATTACATGGTAATTCTAAAAGGCTTATTAAATTAAAAAATTTCCCTCAATTTTGAGAATAAATTCTAGAATAATTATAATTATTAAATTATAATAATAAAATTAATTTAATTCAAATAAAAATTATTATTGCGGTATAAAATAAAAATTGACTGAAAGCTTTTGTTGCACAGAATCAAGTCTGTTTTACCTTGATAAAAGATTTGATGGTCCAACTCATGTGGAGTAAGTGTGACAGGGCAGAGAATGTGTATTATTTGGAGGGTAATAGAGAAGTTTAGAAGTGAACGATGTAATCTATATCGACGTTGCCATGCACCGAAATATAATGTACACTATCATTGCATGTGCAAATATACATAGTGTACGTAGACAATATGCATATATGCATAAAATGCAAATACATGTATTGCAAAATCTCAAGCATCAAAAGGTAGTATTCAGAAATTAATCTCCTCTTATATTGTTTCATACATCCAAAAAAAAAAAAGTAAGCTCATATTGAAAGGAATTTATATTTATATCCTCTTAGGCAAAATAATATTCGTTTTGAGAATATTTTTTCAAAATATTCCTTTAAATTTGAGTATATATTTTTTTTCACTAAATAAATCGTATTACTCCTGTTGTCTAACTGAAATTGCTTGTTGTAACATGTGACAATGCAATTTTACAAAATCGCATTGTTGTTTTGTTTGGTTTTTTTTTCTATATATCTAGAGAATTAATTGAATCGTTCGATATACTATTCAATGTATGCAGATTTCACTAAAAAGAAAAGAAAAAAGTGTATTGCAGTGAAGCGACGATGCAGAAAACTGCATTGAGACATTTTAGGATTCCCAACGTATATAATTCTGTTTTCTATAATGTTGCATATTTAGTACAATCTGTGCGACATTTATTTAAATGTATATATGTAAAGAAATGAAACACATGCATTTAATTGTTCATTAAATATAGTGTGAAAATTTTACGTGAGTAGCATTTCAATTTTATACAATCTTAAAATTTTAAAACAATACAAACACAAAATATTTATTTTATTTTTAATTTAATTTAATTATTTTACTTTTTTTTAATCCGGATTTGTAATTTGAAAAACAGATTTCTGCGTGGTCAAATAAATAGTATAAAATTAAGCTCTAAATTCAACAAGGAAAGACAAATATAAACGAATTTAAAAAAAATGCAACAAATCTGCGGGTAGAATTTATTTAATCAATTAATTTGGATATGCATAAAAAAAAAATCTTGAGCAAGCTTTTAAAAAAATTTTTTTTAATCAAATTTCCTCATTTAACGTTGTATAAATGTTGTTGTTTCAATGCCTTATTTTTTTCCTTCCTATTAATCGGAAATAACGAAAAAAAAAGTTTATTTTTTAATATAGAAAAAAATAAATATATATGTCTAAATAGGTGTATATATATAAATTTCCGATAGATAGTTTTAATATTTTGACAAGTTAGACGTTTAATTTCCGTCGGTTAAACTTTCAATTCAGTCGATAACTATCAGTGCAAGTGACGTAAAACGTTTAAAAATTTTGTTTACGAACAAAAAAAAATATAAAGAAGATAATAATAAAAGTCCAGGGGTTATAGTGAAAATAATATATACGTTTGATTGCGAAAAATATATAATCTATAATTTCTATTCTTCGTTTGTGATACAGAATGAGGCTGCTAAACCATTAATTTGTTTAAGTTCAGGGATGTGAAAACAAATTGACAATACATGTTTGGGCCCCCCCCCCCATTTTATCAATAAAGTGGAGGGAATCGACTATAAGAGCCGTTTTGCAGTAGAATAAGACAGTAAGTGATAAAATTTACATTAAACAAGGGTTTCTAGATTTTAGCACGTTTCGCATTTTTTTCCGAAATAAATAAAAGGTAAATATGCGCCAATTCGTCATTATTTAAATAAATATTTAATTACTTAATATTTCAACATAATATAATTCAATGATCAATTAAATGTTCAATTAATTTATTGTGTTATTAATTACTTTTTTTGTTAGCTAATTTTTAATTCTTCATTATAATATAATAAATTTATTATTAATTATTAATTAATTTACTATAATTTTGTATATTTTTTTCAAAAAAATAATTGATTTTTCAAAAAAAAAAAAAAAAAATTGTCAAAGTAAACTAAAACTTGTCATTTTTATTTAAAGGTTAATATGCCAGTTAATATAGAAAAAGTTTTGATCAGTGACCCTGTGGATGAATCATGTGCAGCACTTCTTGCTGCTCACGGAGTTTCTGTGACTGTCAAATACAAATTATCAAAGGACCAACTTATAAATGAATTAAAGGTAAATTAACAAAATTTTCAAATATTATAGAATAATTTAGAAAATTAATTTAAAAATCTTTTTTTTATCATTTATTGTTAATAATAATTATATAAAATTTATTATTTTTTTACTTTTAATTTTTGTTGAAATAAGTTTCAGTTTAAAAAAAAAGATCGTTTGTAAACAAAATAAATCATATTTTGACAAACGTTTATTAAAATCAAACAAATCGTTTTCTTAACTTAAATATTCAAATGATATCAACTCATGATATGCAAACTAACACCCTTTTAGGGCGCTAGAATCTTCCTACGTTCCATAAATGTCTTTAGAGGGAAGATAATAAAACTTTTGATTAAAAAATATTATATTTTTTTAATAAAAAACTCTTATTTTCTTTTAAAAAATTTAATTCATTATTAAATTGTAAACGTATCGTGTACATATACCTATTTATAATTAAACGTATAGTGCCTATAAAAGAACAATTTTTTTCTCTATTTAAACTATTAATAATTAATAATAAACTCTTGTTAATTTTCATTATAATTAGAAACCCAAATACCAAAACAATTTTTAGGAAATTTTCACTTTGTTAAATTAAATTATAACTAAATTATAATTAAACACGCAAACTAAAATGCGGATGAAAAATTAGAATATTATAACATGAGAATATAAAATACAAAATGTAAAATATATAAAATAAAAAAAAAAAATTACAATATGAAAATATATTTATTAAAATAATTATAGTTTAATATTCCTTGTAATATCAAATATTAAAAAAGAAAAACAAATTAAAAAATTTAATATCAACAAATATTTTTATTTATCCATTTTTTTCCCGTGAAAAAAAAATTTGACTACCAAAAATATTGACTTTATCATCGTTAAAAGCCGCGGTGCCAAAACAAATTTTGAATACATACATTTAAAGTAGGATAAAAATTGCCCTGGAAATGGGTTAGTTTCCGAAACATTGATATAACTTCGTTTTCTTATATATTACTTTATAATTAAATTGGTTCATCGCACTGATGCGTCAAAAGTTTCTATTTTATAATTTTTAGAAAAAAATTTTACCCTCGACAAATGAAAATTATTTGAGACAAAAAACTAATTTTTAGTCCTTTTTTTAAACTAAAAAAATATTACTAAAACAAATAGTAATTTATTAAAAATTAGATATTTCCACCCGAAAAAATTTTACAAAATAAAAAAAAAATGTATAAAATTAGTTATTCTATTTTCTAAATAAAAAATTTCGCCTTTGTAATAGATTTCAATATATCCTCGGAGATAGGGTACAATATATTTAATACATTAGTTATTAAAGAACATGACCAAGAGGTCAGACTTCATTATTATTAATCGCAGATCCAACGTACTTAACTGGATTCGACTAGTTTGTTTTTCAAGAAAACTAGAAAATGGGGGGGTCGATGTACCACATTGTCTACTTTATCTTAAAGAACACATAATTTTATTTACTTCACCATAAGAAATTACGAGTTTCTGATATCGTGACATCATTTTTCGGACAATGGAAATTAATTACTATTATCTAATTATAACTTCCCCAGAATAAACTAAATGACTAAATAACTTAATATCAACATATATTTTTCTATACAATTATTTAAACATTTTTTTTTTACTATCTGAAATAATTTTTATTTTAATCAAATAAATAATTTCTGTATTTGAAACAAATAAAATTTAATCAAAAATAAAAATTATTTTGTTCAAGGAAATATTTGTGAAAGAAATAATTTGCAACTAATTTGCCAAATTACTAATCGAATTGTAATTTTGTTTTGTAGAATCACGAGGCCCTAATAGTCAGATCGGAAACAAAAGTTACAGCTGATATTTTAGGTTCTGTGTCGAATCTACGAGTAATCGGCAGAGCTGGTACTGGTGTTGACAACATCGATCTTTCAGCTGCCACGCGAAAAGGAATTGTTGTTTTAAAGTAAGTTTCAGGGAGCCAAATTTAATTTAACCTGCTTAGAACGTGAATTGGCACAATCGATAATGAGATGTGTTTGTTGAATATTTATCCTTCTATAATTATCCAGTCGTTATATATAAATTATATTAAATATTTCATATTTGTTGTCCAAACAAACATTTAGAAAGTATAAAACTAACTTTTCTGTTCCTTCTGATTCAAAATAAAAATTTTATTTAAAATTTAAGAAAAAAAAACTGTTCTTAAAGGTGCGAACCACTAAAGTGCACTTACATTCTCATTTTTTACTCGGCTAAATTTATTGCTCCAAAAATTTCGAGCGTAAAACATTAGAAGCTTTCTTTAATGATAAAACTTCATGGATCGTATAAATCTTGTTTAATTGAACCTTCATATATTTAAATCTCAATAAGTTTCGTTTTTTTTTTTATGACAAAATAAGGTTTGAGTTGAAAACGAAAATTTGCATATACAAATAACACAAAGTTTCATATAAAATGTTTGTCCCAATCAGTTTGGGGAACAACGGAAGTCTAAAACTCATTTCAACATAAATAATATATTTTTGATTTAATTTCAGTACTCCTGGTGGTAACAGTATCAGTGCCTGTGAATTAACATGTTCTTTTATATCAGCATTGGCAAGAAATGTTGTTCAGGCGAGCCAATCATTAAAAGAGGGACGATGGGATCGCAAATTATATTCAGGTTTCGAATTGTCAGGAAAAACGCTTGCAGTCATTGGAATGGGGCGCATTGGTCGTGAAGTAGCTCACAGAATGCAATCCTTTGGGATGAATATTATTGCATTTGATCCCATGCTACCAATACAAAGTGCACAGCAACTCAATGTTACCAAATTAAGTCTAGATGAAATTTGGCCAATCGCCGACTACATTACTGTTCATACTCCACTCATTCCTCAAACGAAAAGTGAGTTTTATTTTTATATTGCACCAAATAATTCTAAAATTGGGTTTTACCAAAAAAAATATAATAATATAATTATATAATGTAATTATATATAATATACAATTGTATATAAATATTTGAAGATAGGAAAATTTTTTTGAATCGCGATATTTTGCGAGAAACGGTGAAAAATAAATTTTCACAATTGTAGACTTTTTTATTATGTATGTGAAATTTCAATATACAGTGAAACTGTAAGTTATTTGGTATATAAAAAGTAAGAAAAAATGCATTAAAATATCGAAAATTTACAAGGTACGAGAAATTTTATGGCTTTATCATTTCAATATAATAAGGGATGTTGTGCATCGTAGTATTGAGAAAATATTACTGGGTAACATATACAAGCTTTTTTAAATTTTGAAAATGCCAGAACATTTTTTCCATTTGAATAATTTTAACGATATACATTTTTTTGTATAAAAATTCACCAAACGTGAAAGTCGAGGTAAAAAACAAATTTCGTCTTGGCCAAAAAAGAAATGTTTTCAAGACTGCTAAAATTTTCAATAATTGTTAACAAAAAGAATTTTTTTGATTTAATAATTTTAGAAAATTTAGCAACGGAATATTAACTCATTATTACAATGAAATATTGTCTCAATATTACAGTAGAATATTGATTTAATATTATGATGCAATTTTGCAATAAGACAATTAATTATAAAGCAATATTGATTCAATAATTAAGTGCAATATTGAATCAATATTAACTCAAATGTTGAGTGCTATTTGAAACAAATTAAAATATAAAATTATAAACAATATAATTACATGATTAGGATTAATATTTATTAATTCGGATTATTTATAATTATATTTAATATTAGAAGTGGGAAAAACAATTCGAATTTGAAATCTATACCATAACAGAAAAATTTTCGATATTTCAAAATTAAATTTCTGAATTACTTTATTTGGATTTAGATTTGATCAATGCGACAACATTAGGAAAATGCAAAAAAGGAGTAAATATAATAAATGTAGCCCGAGGTGGAATCGTCGATGAGGAAGCGTTACTCAATTCGATTAAAATTGGTCATTGTGGAGGTGCAGCATTGGATGTTTTCATTCAAGAGCCGCCAAAGAATCCTATTACTTTGGAACTTATCCAACATCCAAAGGTTATCGCCACACCCCATCTTGGTAAGCAATTAACTATTCCTCGCATTTTATTCCCTTCCCCTATATTCCAGTTATGAAGAGAATAACGAAAAGACGGGGGGGAAAAAAAATTATTTTTTTGCAACTTGTAGAATATATTAAAACTTATTTGCCTCAATTTCCCAACTTTCCTTTTTTTTTCTCTTATTATATTGAAAACTTTCAAAAAGTAATATTACACATAAATATCTTTACGACAATTTTAGTTATATTCTATACTAGATTTTATTGGCTTGCCAATTTGAGAAAATCATGTTTTCTGCTGCACTGCGAGAAAACGATTTGCTTCTGATTCAAATAACCTTTATTTCGATTGGTTTCATTTTATTTCTCTTATTTCCTTTAACAAAGTTTCAGTTTCCTCGTTAAAAAAAAACGCACTTTCATGTGCTTAAATTAAATAGCTTATTCAAGTCTATTCTTTTTTTTTATTATTATTTTAGATCTTTTTCTCATTAAAAAAATATCATTAATTTATTTACTTGAAATTTAATTTATTAACGATTTTTTATTTTTCTTAAAAAGATTTTCTTTATAAACATATTTCCTTGAACCAATTTTTAAACTTTATTTAAGTGAATTTATTTTTAAATAAATATAATGAGTTTGCTCACATAATATTTTTATAATTGATCAAAAGCAATTGAATGAAGAACAAATATTAATATTAGTACGACTGGGTTTATGTTTATCAATTAAATTAAGTGAAGGACAAACAAAATTTGTACATGCAATTCAATCATTTAATGTGCCAAGGGAAATTTATTTTACACAACTAGATATATTAAATATTAAATATATTAAAATCATTTAAAACTTCCGGTTAATTGACTCTTTCGATTATATATAAATAACCAAACCAAAGGTAATTAATTAGTCCACTTTTAAAAAAAGTAAACAAGAAATATAATTTTCTATATAATAAAATAAAAAATAAGAAAATAATTGATCAATAAAATTAAAAATCTAATTTTCCATATTCTTTTTTTTTACAGGTGCAAGTACAGCGGAAGCGCAACAACGAGTGGCAGTTGAAATAGCGGAACAACTTTTAGCACTGTCAGGAAAATCGACAAAATATAATGTCACTGGTATCGTGAATGCGCCAATTTTGACTGCAGCAATGTCAGAAGAAAATGTACCTTGGATTGAGCTTTCAAAGAAACTCGGTCAATTAATTGGCAAATTTTTAAATAAAAATCCAAAAGCAATTGTCGAGAGTCAAACAGTTGGGGCGGAAATGGAATTAAAAAAATTCATTCACACAGCAGTTCTCGTTGGAATTTTAACGGGGCAAACTAAAAATGGATTAAATCTCGTAAACGCCCCCACACTAGCCAAAGAAATTGGTGTGCAAATTAATGAGAGTCACATGGATAGTGACACAAGTGCAGTAATTGTGAAAGTTGATCAATATCAAATTAAAGGTAATTAATTAAAAAATTCTTTACATTCTTTAATGTTTCAGAATTCGAGTTTTGTATTTAAAATACTGACAAAAAAGAAAAGAATCGGTTTTTATTTGATAAAAGCAAAAAAAATAAGGTTAATAAAATTGAAAAAATAATTTGGCAAAATTTTTTTTTTAGGAACAATTCGTGATAATGAATCAATTCTACTGTCGATAAATGACTGTGTATTTAATAATGGAATTGTTCTTCGAGATTATGTTTCCCTGTATAAAACAAGCAATGGATTACAAGATCTCGCAGCTGTTGTAAGTGCCTACTCAGAAAAGGGAATTAGCATACATAGTTTAAATACAAACGAAAATTGGCTTATTGTACAAACAAACGTCGATACAACAATTAAAGTAAATGATATTGAGAGCTTTTAATCAAGTAGTAAACATACGATCATTATATATGTCCATTAAATTAATTCAAATTCTCGTGTGCTTCAAGTATATAAAATAGTGACGAACTCTGTGTGGAAAATCAAATTTATTTCAGTATTTGGATAGTCGGTTTAAAAATTAAGTCTCTCAATGATTTCCCAAGATACCAAATTATCATAGGAAGTGAAGAATTATTTATTTGATGCTAATGTAATTATAAACCGTAAATATAAGAATATTAATCTAATAATCTAATGTTAGTTTATAATAATGACAATGTAATTTTAAAACAATTACAATATAAAGCTAGTTTAATAATTTTTGTAATACAACTTAAAAGGATCATTTTGTTAATTGGAAAACAAACAATCGACATTCATGATTGTATATTTATTATATTAAATACATCCTTCATTGATAAGAAATTTAAAGTTGACAATATAATTCATTTTTTACAAAATCCTTATATTTTTTTGGAATTGTGGAAATTCTACGTATATAGAAGAAAACTTTAATATAAAATATAGTTTATTCATCACTGCTGTACTTTAAATCAGTCTCTAAAATTTTATATTGATAATTTCCTGTCACTGTATATTTGACTTTTATTACTTTCAACAATTGGATTTTTTTCTATTATAAAAAATATTTGTAATACAGTAAAACCCCGTTTATCCGAGGTCTCGATTATCCGAGGTGGTGTCCCAGTAGGAAATTCTGTATTACCTCTGAGTGTAGTGTACGTCATCTGAGTTATTTTTAATTTTAGTTATAATAATGTTAAATTGTAATAACAATTCGGATTATCCGAGTTTTCGCCTTATCCGAGGTAGGTCCGGTCCACATTAACTCGGATAACCGGAGTCCTACTGTAATTTATTTGAATTAACATTAATATCTGTATTGTAATAATACGAGAAAATTGTTAGTTGAACCTAAGAAAATCGATTAAATTAAAGAAAGAAATTAAGAAAAATTTGTATATCTCAAAAATGTTTTTTATATGAAGTTGACAGGTGAAAATAATTTAAATATTTTAACGGGTCTATATATTATTCATATGGATATGAATTTCGAAACGTTTCAATTATAAAAAATAGAGTTATAAAAATCTTATATTTTCATTAGCTTAGGAAATAAGCTATGTACTGTTCTTTTTTCTTTTTTTTTTTAATAGAAACTGGATTTCACTTTAATAAAAATTATCACATATTGTTGAATAAAAATCAGCCTTTTGCTTTTTTAAAAATATTATACGAATGATTAGAATTAATCAACAGAGACATTATATAAAAGAATTAAATCCGTTCATAACTGTCTTCTTTACAACCGCTACAAAGAAACATACATCCAATCTGTAAAAACATATTTATCGTCAATAATTTGTGACTAAATATTTTAATTCGAAGATTAAAAAACAAGATTTTATAACCAATTCCTAAAAACAAAATAAAATAAAACCTCTATTGAAAAGTTGAAAACGTTTCTAAAATTGAGAAAAAATTGAATGAACAAAGAAAGAAGTTTCAAAGAAGAGAATAAATTTTAAATTTACTTTGAATTGTCGTCCTAGTGTACACCAAAATTCATGATTTGGCAACATTTCCCAGCCCGTTGCTCCTCGTAAAAATTTCAAGGCAAGAGCGCCACCAATAAAATATATTCCAGCAAATACCAGTAACAATATAAAAAAGACAGATCCAGCAGATAAACCTTCTCTTTCATGTTTACACAAATGTGGCGATAACAATAGCAAATTCTAAAAAGGATCACACATTTTCCTGAATTAAGAAAATGTTTTTATACAAGAATAATATCACACTCAACTTACTGTAATTGATGAATTAAGTGATTCAGTATCAGGCTTAAGAGCCGTGGAACAACTAGGACAGCATATTAAATTGATATTTGTTATATTTTGCTTGTGTCTGTACACTAGCTTAAGAATCTTTTCATATTTTGTTTCCAATTCTAATTTACTTTCAGCAACAGTACCTAAACTCATCGGTCCCTTTTGTAAAGGATCATTTTTATTCCAAGAACACAGCTAAAATAACATTTATAAATAAATATTATTGAGTCATTTTCCGGCCCCTCTTACTTTTCAAAAAGTTCGTTTTTCATTGATAAACATTTTTTTTAAAAAAACTTACCGATACTGGACTTTGACATCCATCGTCAACTGTGATATTTGACAAAGAAACATCCTTACAGGGTTGTAACCAAAATGATCGGTTATTAAAACTAAGTTGTAATGGTCTGAAACAAAAGTATAAATTTAAAATTAGTAAATAATCATTTAAGGATCGTGATTGAAATAGTAAAAAATAGTACAGTAATAAACAACTGAAAGAACGAAATTTTGATAAGTAAATTATTGACTAGTTTACAACTGAGATAAATGTAACATCGTAATATGTGCACAAAGGTTTATTTTGTATCCGGTTAAGATTAAAACAATGAGTTATCACTAGACAGGCCACTAAAATTGCATCTCTAATTTAAATTATCAAGGTATTGTTCTACTTTAAATTTTGTCAAATTATTAACAGATGATTACGTAATGTATTTTTAAAGAAAATGTTACAAAATACAAACCCTTGTTTTGCTAGACTAGAAAAGTCGTATGCAGAACCGTCAGGCAGAGAACACGAGCATGGACTATTTTGAATACATTGTGAAGTCACTTGTGTAGATAATATAATTAGAAAGATTGTATATTTAACAAAAGTTACGTACTTTTCATCCATATTTCATGAATTTCAAAATTATTATCTAGTGATATTCTCATTTTACGCCTTTAAAGTACTGACAGTCTGTTTTCATGTTATTTTTTCTGAACGTGACATTACCGACCAAGTTTTGATTTATAGTTCAATTATCATCGATAGATGGACATTTTTCGCAATATATTTTCATTCGCTATTACTTTTTTGCAAATTTAAAATTCAAAAGTAATAGCCAATCAGCTTCATTCAAGTGACGCACGCGCAGTACATTTAACATCTTCATAAAGCTAAGACGAGAAAATTAATTTTCATTTTCGCCACGTGTGTGGACCGAAATAAATTAATTGCGTTTATGATTGGTCATTTGACGGAGACTTTGTGAATATTTCAAAAGAAATTAACCTTACATTGTCAGCTGCGTTGAATAAAGTAAAATTGAATAAAAAAAAGTTTTATCATAGTGACAATTAATGTTTTCAACAGCAAACAACAACAATGTGATTTATTATTATTGCTATTTTTTATCAACAAAGGAATTCTTAAAAAATCACTTTCTTTTATCTTAATCACGTTTCTCATGAAATATAGTTGGTGAGTATTATGTATTAAATATAGTTTGGATAATACTGTATATGTATACATATATACATAACAGAACGAGCATAACCTCTAAATCACATTGTATTATGAGGGCAAAGTTTTTTTGCGACTCAAGTTATTTTTATGGGTGTACCCTTTATACGCTGTTCTTGGCTACATAAAATTTTCGCAAAAATATATTACGAAACAAGTTATCACTATTGTGAGTTATCCTACGTACAACGTACGTCAATCAAAAGGTGATTGCGATTGCATGGCAAAAAAGCACTATTCTGATGCAACGAATATTAAGGAAAAAAATTCTTAGTCAAATTACGTTGTTGTTCGTAATCAATAAAAAAATCTACACTGAAAAAACGTAAGTTATTGTTTTTTTTAATATATAATAATATTTGTTTATTGATTGTCCATACTGTTACTATTTTAGTTATTTTTATTCTCGAAAGAATTAAATTTTTACCTAAATGGAATTTTTTTAAATCTGTCAATTAGTTTACAGTAAAAGTGACAGTTTAACAATATTTTGTATGATTATTATTTATATTATTTTTAATTTAAAAATATATTTAAAAAATTGATCTTACAGGTTCTGAGAAAACGAATGCAGTTATTTATTCACTAAAAGATATGTAGAAATAATGTCACGCAGTTTACCAGAAAGGGTGGCTGGCCTTTATTATGCCCACGGCCTATTTTGTTCATCTCATCCTATAATTGTTATTTCGTTTGCTATTTCTGTTATATTACTATGCAGGTAAATATATACAAAAGTAAATTCTAAAATACCACGTGACTATAATGAATTGAATAATAATTTTCTTCACAGTTATCCATTAGTAAATCTGCCTATGCCTGGAAATGCGCCGAAAATTATTGTCAATCACACAACATCAACACCGTCAAATGGTTCAAAAAATTCCGATTTATATGTTCAACAAGTAGTACTACGAGTCGCAGTACTGCCATGGTCGGAAGATTTATCTCTAATGGACGCTTTTCGAGGACCACTTTACGAAATTTTCAATCTCTTGGAAATTATACAAAATTACCAAGATCATGAGACGTTAGTCAAAATGATAAAAAATATTAACTGATCATTACAATTAAAATTCTAAAATTGTAATTAAGTGAAAATCTTTTTTTTTATAGGAAAAATTCTCTTAGTCAAATTTGTCTACACGTGGAGGCGGTTAAGAAAAGAAATCCTAAAAAGCCGGATATATTGCCGGAGTACAACTGTCTTGTTTTGTCTCCAGCAAATTTTTGGCAACGAAGTATTCAATTTTTTAATCAAGACACAAATCTAATTGGCACTATATTTTCTTATCAAGTAAGAACTGATTTCTTAATTTTTTGAAATTTATTTTATGATTTCTTTTAACACTTACGCTTATTAATTCTATAGAGTCTTCAGAAAGGAAAAATAAGCATTGCCGAGATGCTATTTGGAATGAGTTTAAAAGAAACAGGAATTAAGAGGCATCCTATTCGAGTTCGACAAAGAGTTGTTCAATACGCAGTGACTGTATTTTTAAAAGAACATGACACAAAGTATGTTACATTTTAACTTTTCGAAAAGTTTTTAAAATCTGTTTGATTATTTAAAAAAACAATCATTTTATTTCAGATTTATAGATGGTTTAAAACGAAGATTGACAACCTACTATTCTCTTCATCAATCCGAGGATAACACAACAAATCCGCCACTTACAAATGAAACATTACACATACTTTATCCAGGAGAATTTAATTATAGTGACTTTTTTCCATTGACAATGACATTTGTCGCTTTATTCGTTTACGTTTATTTCTCAGTGAGAAAAATTGAATTAGTCAAGTCAAAATTGGGCATAGCATTTAGTGCCACAATTACAGTAATATCATCACTTTCAATGACTGTTGGTGTGTGTTTCTTTTTTGGATTGACATTAAGTCTAAGTGGCAAGGAAGTGTTTCCTTATTTGGTAATTATCGTCGGTTTGGAAAATGTGTTGGTTTTAACAAAAAGTGTAGTGAGTACACCTTCGAATCTGGATGTGAAAATTCGTGTTGCTCAAGGTTTATCGAAAGAAGGATGGTCTATAACGAAAAATATTTTAACTGAAGTCACTATTTTAACAATTGGCTTATTTACATTTGTACCTGCTATACAAGAATTTTCAATATTCGCTATTGTCGGTCTATTAAGTGATTTCTTTCTACAAATGGTGTTTTTCTCAACAATTCTTGCTTTCGATATTAAAAGATCCGAGTTTTCTATTCAAAATTCAAAATATCATTTCGCCAATGATCCGTACTTTCGTAAACAACCATTCACAACAATTATATCCAACAAAAAAGCAAATATTTTTCGTTCCAAGTCACATCCAAAATTAAATGGAGTTGTTGGACCAACAAATGTGATTGCGCCAAATACACAAAATACAACGCCTTTGGTGAAAATTCCTAAACGTTTAAAATTGGTGCATCTTTGGGCCAGGACAAGAATATTTCAACGGGCATTTATGGTTTGGATGGTCGTTTGGATTAGTATGATTATTTATAATTCTGGCATTGTCGAGCATATGATTCATTTGAGTGATAATTTGAAACAAGACTCGGACATGGATGGTTATACAATGGAAAAACCTCAAATATTGAATAATTTTGTTGAGATGAGTACCGTGAAACCAATTTTAACATCTACTACCATGGCACCTAATCACTTACGAGATCAAGTAAGTAAAATTATATTACCAAGTTTAAAAATTAATTATCATTAGTTTAAAATGGGTAATTAATTTCAATTAACTATTTTTTTTTTGAAGTAACATTATTCTTTACAGAATTACGAAACAAAGAATATTACCGAAGAGTTGAACAAATTACGATCCGTTGATTTTCCACCTTGGAATCGTCTTTCATTATATCACTGGTCGACAATACTCTCCATGTACAATATATCAATGGCTGGCAAACAAATGATTATTCTTCCCACAATTAAATTGTCATATGCAGTTAGTCCTCAGATAGCAAAGCAGATTAGCAATCCTAATGATATTCAACAATTTCAATGGCAAAGTTTAGCAACTGCTGCTCTCGATCCTCTCGATTTTTCCGGTTTGTATTGAATTTTTTTTTTCCTATTTCAAATTTAATATCGTTTAAATCAGAGATTTTAATTTAAAAATATCAATTACAGATATGGAATTGCCGACGCGATCCGAGGTTCGTGGATTCAATACCGATGCACCGTTTATACCGACGAGTCCAATGGAAATATTTTTAGCTGCATTGCTTTGCTCCGTAAGTGTGATTGTTGTTGCTTATACAATGGTAGTGTTGTACCGATGTATTTGCACGAGAAATTACGCCGAGTGGAGAGCCAGTTGGCATCATCAGGAAAAATCATCGGATTCAGCAACGCAACTTGTGCTTGAAGCTGTTCCATTGGTACTCGATGGTCATGTACAGGAAGTCGAATGCATTGCCACCGATGGTAACACTGTTGCCAGTAGTTGTTTAGCAGGACATATCAGAGTTTGGGATTCAATATCCGGTGAGCAATTATCATTTGTCGATCGACGACAATTTTTCAGTAGTCCACAGAAAGAATTAATAAACATAGCTCATGATCAAGATGAATTAATGTCAGATTATGAAAGTGGTTCACCACCTTCGAGAGGCGAAATGGAAATTGCCAATTCCTATAGTTTTCCATCTAATTCAACGTCAATTCATAAACGTAAATCATTTCATGAATTGAACACTCATCCAAAAATGAGCCAAGAATTCACAAACAAGAGACACTCCTTTGGAAACACTGGAGATCTTAATTATCAAATTAATGACATTTCATCAGATAAGCGTAAATCATTAGATCTGCCAGATTTAAGACCCGCTATTAATATCAAATTCTCAAACATGAAGTATTCTCCTATTCAGAAAAATGCTGATCGAGGCTTTGATTATGGGGAACAATACAAACAGATCTTTGAGGATCACAGGAAATTAAAAGAATTACACAGATGTGACGATACGAAACAAAGGAATCAAAGTTCATTGAAAGTAAATAAATTAGCCGATAGTGTAATTTCTTTGAACGCTGATAAAATATCACAGACGTCGTATGTGCCTCAAATTTGGTGCATTGATTATCAAGAAAATTTAATAGTGGTTGGTTGTGCTAATGGGACTTTGGAATTTTGGGAAGGCACAACTGGTAGATTCAAGGTGAGTTAAGGTTTTTGTTAACTTATTAAAAAAAATTAAAATGTTATTATAAATATTTGATTTACAGTGCTTGTTTGATGATGCATCGGGATTAGGAATCTCAGCCGTGAAATTTGTTGGCAATAGAGTAATTGTAGCTAGATTAAGTGGATCATTAGATTTTTTGCAACTAGAAAGTTATAGCGAAGGACAGCAAATAGATTGGGGTTTCACATCTTACAGAAGAAGTAAGTTAATATGTATTTTTAAATGAAATTTATATTTTGTTCCGAAAGATAAAAATATTAATTATAAAATTAACAAAATTGACATTTCAATAATTACTATTCCTCTATAAGTTATGAATGTACTATCGTCGTCTACAAATTGTCAATTAAAAATTACTAATAATTTGCAATTATAAATATGCTAATAATTTGACTTTCAGCACATGTAAGAACGGGAAGTGCTGGATCGCCAATGGATATAAATAATACTACACAATCCGTAGAGGATTTACGATGTATAAAATTATGTTCTCATCGAGCGCATCAACAAGTGATAACAGTGCTCGATAGTGAAGGCGGACGAGTTTTAACCGGAAGTCAAGATCACACTATAAAAGTCTATAGGGTCGAGGATCAACTTCCCTTATACACTTTACACGGGCATTGTGGGCCTATTTCTTGTCTCTTTATTGATAGGATAAATCCTATGACTTCAGGAAGTGGATCTCAAGATGGTTTGCTCTGTGTTTGGGACCTTTTAACTGGTACTTTTTTTAATACTATTAATTTGATAATAAAAATTAATTAATTAATTAATTTTTCTATATTTTTAGGAACGTGTATGTATAGCATTCAAGCTCATGATGGCGCTGTGGCCTCAATCACTTGTTCTGCCTCTTATGTTATCAGTATGGGTCTCGATGAAAAACTTTGTGTTTGGGAACGTTTCCAAGGACATTTGTTACATGCCCTACCATCTCAGAGGATTTCGTTATGTTTGCAGCTTGTTATGTTAACTCATCATTTACTTATAACAAGTACTCAGGTACCTTCATTTTTCTATACAATCGTTTTTCATTCTTACATAAATATTAAAGAAGATAAATTTGAAAAAGTGATAATAAAACTTTATTAATTTTTAGGATTTTATACAATTTGATAATAAAAATTTGTTACAGGGTTCATTAGTTATTTGGGATGTAAGAACTGGAGAACCTGTTCGAGAAGTGAGATTAGGACACAAGGACAATAGTGTCTTTATAAAGCAAATGTTGCCACTTCGAGATAGTGTAATATGTGACTTTGGTAGACAGTTAAGAATAGTTAGATTTCCACTTGTCTCGGACAAGATGGATTAAATTTTTACAAATATTTCAAAATAATTGCGCAACTGAAGAAAGACTTTTTTTTCCAAAGTTATTTAACATCGAAATTTAAGAGGCTATTCTTATTTAAAGTTAGTCTTTTAGTTTTAGAATTTGATGCTCTGATTTTCAAATCAAGCAACTACCCAAAACAAAAAAATATCGACACAACGATATTTCCAATCATCGTTTCATAGTTGTATAAAATTAAAAATATTTTAGAAAAGAATCAACCTAATAATACTATTTTTTGTCAAAAAAGAAAATTTTTTAATTTTCAAACTTGTAAATTATATATTTATAATTTTTCCCAACTTTGATATAACTTATACAAAAGTAATATAATTGTTATATTTAACGCTTCCTTGAATCCGTCGCAAATATGGGAAATAATATTCAAGTGTAAAAATAATATTAATGACTAAGAATACAATTCTAGTATATTTTGAAGGCTATGCTATTATTGGAAGAAAAAAAAATAATTTTACGGTGTAAATGTATTTTCTACGATATATTATGAATTTTCGTCAATAAATTTACTCTATTTTTTTTAATTAGAAAAAGCATTTTCAAATGTGAAACATGTAAACGCGACATTTTTCTTTTGCATTATATTTCTGCATTTTTTCTTCAATCATTTTGATCAATTTTCGAGATTGTTTTACTTAAATTTTAATGAAAGTAAAACACAATGTGCCATTTATTCATTTTCACTTGTTAATCACAATTAATATTTAATTTACATTATATGCAAAAAATATAGTTACATGACAATTCATTTCTCATTAATTTTTATTATTTTGCATTTGCTACTATAAATGTAGAATATTAATAAAATATATTTTTAGATTATTAAGTAATTTTGTAATTAAGATTTTATTTTTATGACTTAATTAATAATTTCAATAATATTGTTGCATAAATGTTTCAGTATTTGAAGAGGCAAATAATAATTATTAGGGCAGCTAAAATATTTAATGAAAAAAAAACATAGTCTCAAAATGTATTTAAAACGTTATTGGAAATATTAATGATTCTTGACTGTGATGTTGAGTTAGAAATAAGTGTTAATTTTTATTTGTAACATTTCTTTTAAATAATTTTTAATGTCAACGCTTTTCAATTGTAGATCTTAATTATTTAATGTGTGGAAACTTTGTTTTAATTTTATTTTTTTGCGTGCAATATTTTAATTTTGTTTCTGACTGATAATGCCGCTTTTTTATTTGTAATACATTTAAAATTAAAATGTACGTTCTTCGAAATTTTTAAGTTATTTTGTTTTACTTTTAGATACTATACGATAATAAGTCAGAGGAAAAATCGTGGTCTGTTAGTGCCTTAAATATATTATTATTATTATTATTAAAATTTTAGAATGACACTTTTTTTATATTATATCTTAATTTTTCAAATTATGAATATCAAAGTTTATATAAAATTATATAATAAAAAATAATTAAGAATATGAATGCACGTCTAAATAATTACTCTCAATATGTAATTAAATTTTCAATTTCGTAATAAATAATTATTAATAACAAGATGGGAAAGTTGTTGATAACTCGTATTTCGTGAAAGATGTATTATATGTTTTATTCTTCGGATGAAAATTAATTTATCATTTATATAAATAATAAAATAATAAATAATTTATATGAGAAAGTATTTTTAATCAACACCTCGACATTTTTTTTAATTTTTAATTTTGCTTTCCTGGAACTGTTTAGTTATTGTTATAACTAACGAGTAAGTACATGTATAGAGATAATGTGAATAAATTTATTAGTATCGTTAGAAATGAGTGTGAATAAAAAATTGAAAGCAGTACTTGTGAATTTTGTCACTAAAGCAAATTTATCATTCACGTTTTCTAAGAAGACAATGAGAAAAAATTATATCAACTTTGTATCAATGAAACTAGAAATATGAAATTTTTTTTTTCAATAATCTTAGTTACTCATTTTGTGAAATTATGACTTAAAGAAAAAAATAGAGACGACGTATAACAATTGAGGAGATTAAATATGCATAAAATAGCGAATCAACAGAGATTACTAGATGCAAAAGTATATTGCATTGCAATATAAGAGGATTAAATATACCTGGAAGAATTGTAACGGTTATTGACTTCTTCGTATCTATTAAATGATGCGTCAATTAAAGGAGAATCAAAGCAGTCTGGTAGATTAAATACACACAGACACTTAAAAATTGAAGCACAATAAATTACTCATTTTTTAGCCAAAAATTAATTGCGAATTTTTTTAAAATTAATTGAAAGAGAAAAAATTAAATTATTTAAAATTTAAATTTTTGAATCTGGATTATAAAAGAAATTAATTAATGTAATAATTTAAGATTCATTTAAGTAAATTTTATAGGGACAGTTATACGAGTCATTGAGATTTAATCATAGATTTGTGTATTGTCTCTCCATTTATATATAACCCTAACCTTCGATAACGATGATTGGTTTGTTAAGTACTAAAACTGGGTCAGATTCATTTTACTCAAAGAACTGCACCTTCTAATTTGAGAAGCCTAAATAATACCTAAAGTAATTAAAACATTGCGGTGATAAAATAAAAGAAATTTAGCGTCAGATAATACCAGGAAACTGTTTTTATAAGAAATATAGATTAAGACTTTGTATGCGGCTCAAAAATTTAATTTTTAACAGGAATATTTATAAATCTCTCACTGCTTCGTATTAAATTAAAACACTTAATCTAATATAAAATTCTCTAAAGCTTTTTTATCATTCGATTGAATTGATTGATATTTGTGTTTTCTTTTTATTTCATTGTTATGATTTCATGCTTATTATATGTTCTATTTTGTTTATAATAAACATCCAACATTATTAAAGTTCAATATGTGAATTAAAAATTATTAAAAATAATTGATAACAAGAAAATAAAAATCCACTGTACACAATTAAAAAAAAATTTGTAAAAATTTTTCCAAACTTTTAAAAAAATTGATACATGCTTTTCAAAAGATATTGTTAAAAAATATTTATATATTTGTTTATATTTGAAAACTAAATGAAATATGAAAAGTAATATTAAATAATCTGAAAATCTTACAATGATCTAGCGATCCCAGATTATAGGTCAATCTAATAATTTATAATAGCAGATGTCTGATACATCTCCAAAGATTAATAACGATTAAATTCTTTTTTGTTGATAATCACAATATAATTCTGTGATATTACAAGCCATTAATTATAATTTTAATATAAATTTAATATCATATATGACTTAATTTACGACTGATAAATTTTATATAATAGAAATATATGTAATTGTCAAAGATTACAATAAAAAAAAAAAAAATTGTTAGTTTAAATGCATAATTTTTTAATTTCATATTGTTACTTATATATTTAATTATTATTGTAAAAAGAAATCAAAAGAAAACAAAAATATAAACTTTATCAAAAAAGTGTGATATTTGTTTATAAATAAATTTATTAAATTTTTATTTCACAAGAACGGAATTGCAATAATGCACTTTCTTGATTCATTCACGTGAGAAATTATGTAAATATAAAATAATCAGAAATTTCGAATCATGCAAAATATTGTGTAGATTATTTAAGATTAATTTTGAAATTATAGATTATAAGCTTTTATATCTCTAACAAGTTATAGAAGATGAAAAATAAAGTGGGGTACATTTAAGAGAGTGGGAGGGGAACAGAAAGTAAAACTTGGAGTTACTTTCAAATAGAGGATGCGACTCCTTCATTCCACTAACAGTTCTCGGGGCAAATTTATAAAACGTGAAAAAAATTTTTTTTTTTCTCTAACTATAAGTAAATTTTGAACGAATGTATTCTAGAAATAAATTAATTTTCTCAAAAGAATATTTTTAATTAATATTTGAAAATTCGCGCGCGAAATGAAATTCAAATGAATTAAAATCTTAGTTTTAACTTTTACTAATTTTGTGATATTTAATTATCAGTAAGTTAATAAATGTCGATTAATAAATCGACCGATTTAATTAGTTAAAAAAAAATATTTGGTGCGTACAAATTGACGAAAATAAGTGTTTTTGTGTTTTTTTTTAAAGAATTTTTAGGATTAAATACAATTTTTTTTTCTTTTTTTGTAAAGATGACTCAACTGGAGAATTTTGACAATTTTAACAGGTGCGATTTTTAAAGTCCTTTTGATTATATGAATGAATGAATGAATGAAAATAGAAGGGTAATTTTTTTCTAAATATAAAAAAAAATTAGGACATAATTGTTTAAAATTACAAATAAAAAATCTTTTATTATCGAGAGTAGCTAAATAATAATATTTAAATAGAACTTGCTATAAACTATAGTTTAAACGTCTTTGAAAATGTGCTCGTTTGCATTATTTTTTAAATTGTTCATTCATAGATAATTAGCAAGCGATTAGTTAGACAAATGATTGCAATTTTCATTTTTTTTTTCATTGCATTTTAATTCTTTGTGTTTTATTTATTTTCCGTCTTATTCCTGAATAGGAATGAAAAGATAAAATTTTTTCAACTTCAGTAGAACAAATTTTATAAAAGAAGAATTTTATCTTTTTATTTTAAATAAACGATTTAAAAAGGAAACGTTGGTGAAGTTCACGTTTATAATCAACGATTGAAAAAAATACTTTTCGTTCAGAAAATAATAATGCCTATAAATTTGTCTATTAAAAATTATTTGATCAAAAAACGTTGCAAATATTTTTTTTCAGACAAAAAAAAAATTATAATAATTTAAAGATATTTTCTCTTTTACATCGTTGATCATAAAAATTTTAACTTCACCGATGTAAAAGGAAAAAATGTTTTAAAAATACAAGCTCATATTTTTTCACTGTACAAAATATCTGTCACAACAGTCTTGTAAAATAAACTTAAATCAACAAAACATTTTTTTCTTAAATAAACTATTAAATCTCGCAAATTTTTTTCTTAAAATATTTCATGTTCAAATATTAATAAAAATTTTTTGTCAGTATTTGAACTACAGGGATTGAAAAAATACAAATGAATTTTTTTGTAATATTTTTCGATAAACGAAAAAAGAAGTGGAAATTTGCGATTCTCATTATTAGAATGTTTAAATTTAAAATGCAAAATTAATTTTTAAATTCAAGTTTAATTTTCAATTTACGTAATGACTTGTAAATTACTATGCGTTATTCTTATATATTATTTCGTTGAACGATTGTAAAAGAAGCTTATGCGAATTCAGATAAGCACAATTTGATCATTTATACATTCTCCTCATCCTTTTATCAATATTGATAATAATCCGTTGACAAATTCATTATCAATGTTCTCCGAGTAACAAATTTCGTAGCAAGGTCATGGAAAAATTTCAGAAATCAATCGATTAATTTTTGTTAATGAACCTATTAATTTATTAAAAAAAAATCGATTCAGGATACTATTATGAAAATAAATTCTAAATCCTTCTATTTTAGATACATAAAAAATTATAAAAACATCCTCAGGCAAAAAGTAATATTTTAAGAGATTAATAAATTTGCATATATTTAAAAAAAATTTTGAACTTATTCATATATTAAACATTTATTATTTTACGGAAGTATAAATAGATATTTACAAAAAAATAAAAACAAAATAAAATTTGAAAATAAAAAAAAAAAAAATTGACAGGTGTGCAGAGATTTATTTTGCACTTTACATTAATGATTATGGCCCACTTTATATATACGTAATCGCGGCTATTGCCTTTATAATGGAAGAGTAGATATTGTCCTCATTGCAGAACATGTGAGTAATCGCAACATAACCCGTAAAAAGTGAATGTACTTTGTAAATCCTTCAACCTTGACAAGATCAATTTCTTTTATTTTGACTTATTATTTTCTAATTTTCTTAAATCCAGATAAAAAAAATAATATTTCCATTTTCAATAATTCATTCTTTATACAAATTACCGCATTCAGATTGATTATGACATACTATTAACCGGTTTTGTAGCACTCTTACTTTCACTGCTATTTATTATTTACATAGGTAAATTTTATCAAAAATAATTTAAATTTTTTTAAATTAAATTTAATTTATTTGTTTATTGTAATTAGAATATCCGGATATTTTTTTTATTTGCAAAAAGATTTATTGTGATGTAATAAAATGTCAGTTCCCTATAATAGTAAATTCAAACATAGGTATTTGATGGTTTTTGCAAGGTTTTAAGTTCTGTTTTTATTTTTAATAATCATATCCTTGATCAAAAAATAATGCAAATGAGACAGGAAGAGAAAAGCGCAAAACCTTGAACTACATTTTATAATCTTTGACTGTTTTGAAAGTTAATTCCATGGATTTTTTTTGCTTCTTTTCATTTTAATTTAAAGAAATTAATTCAGGAATTAATGGTTAATTTCATTATTATAATAACAATTTAATTTGTTAATAATTTATTTTGTTTTTTTTAAGGAGTGTAAGAGTTCTTCAAGGACTTTTGACACTATTAAAATGTACAGGTAGAACTGTATCTTGACTCAGCACAGTTTTCTCAATTTACTAGAGGAGCAGATAATAATTAATATTTTTTTTTATTCCAAGGAGAAAAAAATTATTTTAATAATATCCTGTCTATATTTACTATTATATTTGCAACACTGTTTTGACACTTTAAAAAATTCTCATATTGTAAAAAAAAATAGTAATTTATTTATGTTATCGCATTTTAAAAATGTCACTGATAACTGTAGTGCAGCAATTAGTTGCTATTAGTTTGTTATGAATGTAACATATAAACAAATATTCGTTAGAATGTCTTCTCTTTGCAATAGATTATGCAAAGATGGAGACATTTACTCCGTTACATAAAATGCAAATAATTATAAAATCTCTAGCTATATAAGAAAATATTCAGGAAATAGTTAACGGAAAATGAGGCAAATCACCTTGCTCTTTATAATTCAATGGCACTAATGAATTGAAATAAAAAATTCTATCAATTTGTGTTTATGTGTTTAGGAACTGTAAAATTACATCTTGTAAATTCTCTATTTAATTATAAAAACTAACATTAAAAATAAATATTTATGAAATTTCAGTAATGGCGAAAAAGTATATCCTGCGGAGGCGAATGGCCATGTCCTTGAACCACCTGTTCACAAATTCAGACAGGCTTTGCCACAATTTCTCGCAGTGGGTGCAAAAAACCTATTACTTCTCACTTTTGGTACGTCATTGGGATTTTCGACTATTTTAATTCCAGTACTAAGAAATAATGAAGATATTATCGAAGTCACCAAGGAGGAATTAACATGGATAAGTTTGTATCAATAATTAAATATTTTTATTTATTGAAATAAAAAAGAATTAAATTAATTTATAGAAGATTGGAATTTAATAATGAATTTTCTTTTTCAGGTAGTCTTAATTTATTTTTGGTACCAATTGGTTGTCTTGTGAGTGGTCCAATATCACAAACTTTTGGAAGAAAAAGAACAATGATGATGGCAACAATTCCATTTATTTTAGCGTGGATCTTGTTCTATTATGCAAATAATTCAACAATGTTATTTGTTTCATTGGCAATTACCGGCTTGACTGGTGGTCTTTTAGAAGCGCCAGTTATGACATACGTGGCTGAAATAACACAACCAAAATACAGAGGCATGCTCTCAGCAACTTCAACAATGTCTGTGATTCTTGGCGTATTCATTCAAATGCTCACTGGTAGTTTCGTCAGTTGGAGAACAACAGCCCTTATTAACATTCTTTATCCTGTATTGTGTTTCTGTGCTCTCTGTTTTGTTCCAGAAAGTCCTTACTGGTTGGCAAGTAAGTAAATGATTAAAAACTGATCAATTCAGAAGAATAAAATTAAAATTTCCAACAGATAAAGGACGAATGGCTGATGCAGAAAGTTCCCTGTGCTGGTTGAGGGGTTGGACGAAACCAGTTTTCGTAAAAGAAGAATTCCAACAAATTAGTGAATTGGTGAAATCGGTGAAAGCAAATATAAACATAAATTCTAAATTAAAAGGCCTGCAGCATTATCATAATAAAAATTTTTATGTACCATTTATTTTGGTAGCAATAACATTTTTCGTTTCAACATTTAATGGATCCAGTACACTTCAAACGTATTCAGTGGAAATTTTTGAAGGTTTACATGCTCCAATAGACAAATACACTGCAACTGCGTTTCTTGGCTTAACAGAATTCATTGCCTGTGTTGTTTGCTCATTTGTTATTCACTTTACTGGCAAAAGGAAATTAACGTTCTTCTCAGTAGGTGGAACATTCTTTTGTTTTTTGTTTGCCGCCATATATGGATACTTGATTAAAAATAATCAAATAGATACATCTGATTACACATGGCTTCCAACGACCTTAATGATCGGTTCAGCATTTTTCTCACACGTGGGTATTAGACTTATACCTTGGGTTTTATCGGGCGAAGTCTTTTCATCGCAGGTACGCAAGTGTTTATTAATTAAATATAAATTAAATATTTATATGTGTTTTATCGAAAAAAAAATAGCAGATGTCTTGTTATATAGAATTAATTTATGCAAATCATACATTAATAATGTTTTTCTAATAGGTTCGAGGTACTGCCACTGGCATTGCTGGATCATTGTTCTACATTTTTGGTTTCATTGCAAATAAAATATACGATTACATGGTGGACACTTTGACTCTACCTGGGACCTTTTTATGTAATGCCTGTGTCAATTTTGGCGGTGTCATTGTTTTATATTTTATTTTACCAGAAACGGAAGGAAGAACACTTAAAGAAATTGAAGAACACTATTCTGGAATTCAAAAATTGAAACACAGGCCAAAGAAGGAAAAATTGGCATCTAAAGAAAAATGGGCTGCTACCAATCCTACACCAATAAATGACGATATTGAGAGTAAAATTTGAAGAATCTTCTAGTTCTAAGAAAGGAATGGAGAAAAACTGCCTTATTAATAAGATGATTTAATCATAAGTCTGACATTCATAATTAGTAATGTTTAAAAAAAAAATCTAAAGCATGAAAAATTTAGAGAAAGTTTCAGATAATATATTATAAAAGAGATGTGCAGAATGAGTGTGTAAATTGTACATATATTGAGTGAGATTTACATATATTTAACACTTGAAATCTTGGATAAATTGAATTTTTATAAATAGAATAATATTTTTTATAAATAATTCTTATTCTGACGTCGGTTTCTTTACTTGAAACCTAACTGATAATAATGCTTCATATTACAATAAATAATTATTATGATTCTCATTAATTTTCAAAAATCGAAATTTTTACAGATATATAATACTTTGAGAGAGGATGAAATAAGTCTTATCTACATTTCTTGTTACTTTAAGACCTCGCGAAAAAAAATAATAAAAAAAAGATAAATTGTATAGATTTAATCAAATAACGGATGTTATCGAATTATTGCATATTTTTGCCATGATTATTGATGTTAACGATCAATTATATTGTACATACTATACTAAATTAGGAAATGATAAGAAAAATTGTATTTATGCTATTCTAACATTTTTTGTAAGTAGTTTAAAATATTTTTTAAAAAAATTGTTACTATTTTAAAAAATATGTTGTTTATTGTAGTAGGTATTGCAATGTTTTATGTATCATAAATTTTTAATTTAAGTCAAAAATATAGTATTGCCAATACACGTAAGAATAAAAATTTGCATAATTTAAAAAAAGAAAAATTAATCATGAAAATAAATGGGAAGTCTGCCGAATAAATCAGTAAATATTGAATAAATGTTTTTGTACCTAATAAAATATGTGCAATTATTTCTATATTAATATAAAGAAATTAATATCAAACGCAAAATCATTTTTTACTATCAAATATAAAATTTTCATCAACAGTACAGCAATCCTAATATTTTTTTTGGAACAGATCGTATTTTTCTTTTATAAGTTGGTCACACTGTTATATAGACATGCGCTTTATTGTTTCAAATTTAACGGAAAATAAAATATTTTTAAACATTTGTAGAGAAATTTCAAGATTTTTTAAATAATAAAAAAAGAATCCTAATTTTTTATTAACTAAGGCTTTGATTAAATATGTAACATACATTTTGTTAAACTTAAAAACGAAACTATTAATTCTACTAATTAACTATTTAGCATAAAAATTTTCTATATTAATTTTTTTCAAAAACGAAATTTTTGGTGAAAAGGAGAATGTTAAATTCCCAAAAGGAAAAGATTGAACTAAAATAAGGATATTTGGGTTTTTAGAGTCAACTGAATGGACATAAACTGAGAATGCATTGCATTCGGGGATCAACAAGTAGTAAAGCTGTTTGTAAAATGAGCTTTCTTGGCATATATTGATGTGAGTTGGGTTGCGGACGCGCAGGCGCTGGGGGCCAGGATTGGCACGGGCGGGGGTCTTCGAAATGGTCGATATTTTAGCTATAGCGGGGGACTACAGTGGCGCGAGGCTTTTTCCGAGGCCAGTTCAGTCTCCTTATTGTCGTGACTAAAAAAACCCCGCCAACCCCCCTTTGATTTTTATTAACAAATTAAAAACGATTTCCTTAACTGCATTATTATTATTAAGGTGATAGACAGACAAGTGTCAGACGTGCAGCTGGTTCGGTGTCGTCCGTGGAATTTCTTCGCTAGAGGTACGAATTGTATATATCAAAAAAAAAAAAAAAAAAAAAAAAACTAAAGTGACAAAAGAGAGAAAATTCGTGAAATGTGTTGTATTCGAGAAAATGGGAAACTGAAGGGCTAAAACTCCCCCATTTTGTCAGTGAGAAACAAGAGCGCAATTCTTAACTGAGGTAGAGCCAAGTGAATCGATAAACCTTTTTTTTCACTTACAAAAAATCGATATTAATAGTGTTAATTTAATTTTTAGTAAATATTTTCTTATTTTGTCGTTTTAATTCCCCCCCTCCTCTCTATATAAACTATATATTATGTCTACTATCCCTATAATATTCCCCCACTATTTTTATGTGAAATAATTTACAAATCAACCACGTCGTGGATGTTCTAAAACTATCGTTGTCGTGACCGAATTTCCACGGTCGCCTATATTGACCTCCTTGGAGGGCTAACAGCGCGAACACAGGCGATAAGTCCACTTCCTTCCGATATGATGGTTTTCAATATGCTTTCATTTTACTGCATTAATTTAAAAAAATACTTTATAAAAATGATTTTTTTAATCACATTTCTCTTTACTATAGTTCTATTTTTTAATTAAGAGAAAAAAATAGAAATGTCTACTCGACAGTAACCTTCATTCTTCAACCTCTATAAATGGGGCACATTTTCCATCAATATTAAAATAAAAATCAATGCAAATTTTAAGGATTTATTAAAAACAGAAATTAATGAGAGGTGAGATCGATTTTGGGGAATATGCATATTTACATAGCTGAAGAGTGCTTCATATTGACAATATATGATTCAGTGACTCAGAAATTGAACTGGAAATTGCGAAACGAGAGAAAATTAAGTTACTAATTGTATCAAGTTAGATTATAAATTCTCCTTTTAGAATTTTCAATTTTAAATCATTATTTTTGAATCTATATACGTGAATTTCAATAATAATTAATAACAATTAATAATAATAATACTAATAATAATTAATAATAATAATAAATAAATATAGTAAATAAAATAAATAATATAATAATAAATATGTAAATTGTTGCTTAATAAAATTAATATTCTTCTACTGAATAATTAAAAAACTAATTAAAATGTAAATTTCAATTTACTAGTTTTTTTCTTATTTATTTTAGTAACTTTACTATAAAAGTAATCACAATTAAAATTAGTTTCGTTTCTTATTAGTTTTTTTTTTCAATACATAATAAAGATAATTTATTTAAACATCCAGTAATGTTTTTATAATTAAATACCCCTATGTTCGTTAACATACGATTTATATATTAAAGTTACGTTGACCTATCCCTCTTACTAAAGTTATTATTTTCAATTATTAATGAAAAATTCTATAAATATAAAACAAACATTTAAAACTTGAAAATAGTTTGTTTACTAAAAAAAACTTATAATTAAATTTTTATAGAGAAAAAAATATATATCCAAGACAAAATTATCCAATAAATTATTTTTTCTGCAATATGTATATAAAAGTTTTTAATTAAGAAAAATAATATTTTAAAATATAGAACTGAATACAATAAAATAATTAGATAAAAATAATAATCATATAAAATAGATAATGATAGTTTTGTATTGTAAAATGTAAGTTTGCACTATTTATAGAAAAATGCTTTTGTTTTATTGGAAAGTTTATTTTTCCCATAATAGTAAAAAAAGGAAAACATTAATCTTTCAGAGAATCCAATACCCTTAAAATTTTTTATTTTTATTTCTTTTCTGTTTTTTTATACTCAGAAGTTAATCAATAAAGAACTCTCTTCAATATAAAAAAAGCTCAAGTACATGTTTCCTACTCAGTGTTAGTATTCATATTCGTGCCATCTATTATATGCATTTTACCTCAGCATCACCTTTTTTTAAAAAATATTTTATTGTTTTTAAATAGTATTTAGAAAAAGTTTTGCATATCTTATTATAATATATTATAAATTATTATTCACTATTAATTACAAATTTTCTTCATTTTTATTTATAAAATCAATTAATTATCACAAATTAGTCCTGATAATATATATTTTATTCTAATTAATTTTCAAATGTAGGCCAAATCATAATGAATTGATTTATTAATATCAGATTTTTTAAATTATGTAATTATTATAAATAGTAAGTTAAAAACTGCATTTATAATATTTATATTTATTTATAAAATTATTTATTTTTTACATATAAATTATTTAAAAAAAAGAGAAAAAGCAAAATATCAATGTCCCAATTTTTAGACTTTCCCTTTCGTTTGATTTTATAGATTGTAACTTCCCCTCTTTTATTTTTCTGGAAAAACTGAAAATAGGAGTTTCTATATTTTTTTCAAAACAATTTATATAACTTTTCTTTTATTTTAACATTATTTCCTTCAATATATTTTTATTTTTTTAATATTAATTTTACTATTATTATTACTATTATTATTATTATAGCAGTTTTATTATTTTAACATTAAATTATTATAAATTTTTTTCAATATATTTTTGTTTTAATTTGTTAATGTATATTTTGGTATATTAAAAAATATTTTATTGTGTGATATAATTTATAAACATAAAAAGAAATTCCCAACTATTTTTTTTTAGTAAAGGTACCTTTAAAAAAAAAAAAGGAGGACAGAGAAGTTGCTTTTGAAAAATCGTCAATTGAATATGCATTAGATTGTAACTATATATTGACTATAAAAATAAAAAGTGTGCACGTACATAATATACATGCCAAATAAAACTATAATTAAATGAACGAAAAAGTTTACTAGCCATATATATAAGAAATAAATAAAATTCTTTCATTTAGAAACTTCTTTTTCACTCTCATTCGAGTTGTAATCCAAGCAATATTCACGCACAGTTTTGTAGCCAGATCGATAATCTCAGTACGTCACTGTGTTCGGAAAACTAGCAACGTTAATATTAGTGAAGGGTAACGGAAATTGTTTCAGATAAAAAAGAAAATATTTCATCAATAGAGAAAACAAAATCATCTGTATATTGAACGATATTAAAAATGCTTTTCATGCGAATTTTTTACAATAAAAATTATTTGACAATTCTCTATTTCAAAAATTTCTAATATTTATTTAATTTAATAGTTTTTTGTTGCACTATAATAAAAAATTAAATTCATCCAAATAAATAATAATAAATAAATAAATGAATTTCAAATGCATATTTAAAATTGTTAAAATATCGTATCTCATTAGTTTTTTTTCCGAATAGATTTAAATTATTTTGATTATATATATTTTTTTTTGTTTGTACATTGCTGATATTTCCACCTACTTAGATAAGAGAGTTCTTGCATTTCTCATAGTCACGTTTATTTAAACGAGAATGCATATGGCTCTATTCTTTGACGATTCTTACAAAACTATACGTGTCCAGGCATTTGCATTTGTACACTGACTTTTATATAAAAAGACATAAAAAAAGGACTGCAGATGAATGCATACATTTTGTCATTTACACGTGAGAATTATTATTTTTTCATTCTACATTGAATTATACTTTTCTATAAAAACGTTTTTAATCACTTTCTAATTTATTATTTTACGCAAAATATATTAATAAAAAGCATTATTTTTATAAATATTTGAGTAAAATATTTTCTCGATAATTAAATGAAAATAAATATTTTAGTTTGGAAATAAAATTTTTTTCACAAAAGAGAATATTAAATCTGACCTAGAGTCAAAAATGCTCGAATTAAACGTTTCTCTTCAATGTCCTACTTTTCTTTTTTTCTTTTCAAATGCTTTAGGAAAATTACAACCTCTTTCACTGTTTGGAGTTTTCTCTTTTTCTCTCTCTTTTCTTTTTTTTTTTGATAATTTTCTTATAAAAAAAAAATCTTTTTGTAAATAGAGGCACTATTAAATATTGTTACGCCTTTGTCGACAAGTTAACGCGTTTGCTTTATCAGCGCCAAAATGTTCAAGGATTCTATATTACTACCGAAGAAACGAGCTTGGCTGCATATTATCGCCACGTCGAATAATAACGCTTTTCCTAGCATTGACCATGGCATATAATATGCTGCGGTAGACGATCACAAGACTCAGACGGTTCGAGCACTCTTCAGTAATTTATTAATTAAAGCACTCTACTGTCAATTCAATTATTATTGATTTTCAAAATTTTTAAACTATAAATAATAAAGTGAAAGAGATTTATTATGTCAAAACAGACGGGCGATGTAGGAGTGAAAGACTCAGTTTTTGAATTACGTTCGCGAATGTCACGTCTAATGTCCATAGTGGAAATTACATCACCAAATTATTCTTCGGTATATTCTGAAAATTCGTATGGACTAGGGTTAAACACGCACCTTTACGATAAAATCTGACCCATATTCACAAAATTGATTAACTGATTTTTCAACAGCAAAAACTTCTGTATTATCGTTTTTCTATTGGGAGAAAATATATAAGTTTCAAAGTTGGAAAAAAAAAGTTTTTAATTTTTAACATTTGTTTTAACTTCCTTTTTTTAAAAACATTTTTATGTAAAAAGCATTCTTCAATGCTATTAAAATTGCATATAAGTGGAAAATCGATAATTATTAAATTGAAAAAAATTTATAATTTAATGAAAGATTTTAGAGTTGCCCGTTAAACCGATTATATTTTCATCTTTTATTGAACAACTTTTCCTCTGACGTCACAATTCTAAATGCAGCTTCTTTCTATTTACAGTGAATATATAAATAAACAAATATTATTGATTATATTGCAATAAATATTTTTGCATCTGAATTTTATCCACGAATTGTTTCCTAAATGTATTTCTAATTTTTTTTTTTAATTTTTGTAATAAAACTCTTGACTAACATTTTTTAAAACTTTTACAATTTTTTTTTTTTAAATTAGAATCAAAAGGGGTAAAATGAATTTCTAATGTTAATTAAATTTGCAGATGGCGGGGCAAGATCCAAAATGGCAGAAGGACGCGTCGGACCAAAATTTCGATTATATGTTCAAATTACTGATAATTGGTAATTCATCAGTTGGTAAAACGTCATTTCTCTTCCGTTATGCCGACGATTCGTTTACTTCGGCCTTCGTTTCCACGGTTGGAATCGACTTCAAAGTAAAAACAGTCTTCAGGAATGACAAAAGGGTTAAGCTACAAATCTGGGTCAGTATAAATTACGTAGCCATTAAAAATGACATAAAAGAAAAATCCGCTCAAGATTCACTTCTCATATTTATACTTCGATCGAACAAGAGTCAATTACGGATATTGTTTCCTACTTTTAATGCAACTTTCAACAAAATGCTATAATAATTCCATAACTTATCTCCTCTCTTTTATTGTTGACCGCTTGTCGACTGTATTAACATTGAAATGAGAGCTTTAGAAACTTTTTTCACAATAAAACAATTTTTCTTTCAATTTTTCAGATAAAAAATATGTGCCTGAATTGAAATTTTTTATAATACAAATAATTATTTGATAATAGTAATTCGAAAATTGAATTAATTTTTAGGATACCGCGGGACAGGAGAGATATAGAACCATAACGACGGCCTATTATAGAGGCGCGATGGGCTTTATTTTAATGTATGATATAACTAATGAAGATTCGTTCAACTCAGTACAAGACTGGTTAACGCAAATAAAAACCTACTCGTGGGGCAATGCCCAAGTTATATTAGTAGGCAACAAGTGCGATATGGAGGACGAGAGAGTTATCAGTTTCGAGAGAGGTAAACAACTTGCAGAACAATTGGGAGTGCAATTTTTCGAAACGTCCGCTAAGGAAAATGTTAATGTTAAGGTTTGTATTAATAATAAATTATTATTTGTCCCTCTCTGGACATTAAAAATCTATAATGAAAATAAAATTATTTTCAGGCGGTATTTGAGCAATTGGTGGATATAATATGTGACAAGATGAGTGAATCACTTGACAATGATCCAACACTGATGGCAAGTGGTGCAGGTCCTGCAAAGGGTCAACGACTCACGGATCAACCAGTTAACCCCAAGGACACTAATTGCAACTGCTAAAGTACTTTGGCACGCTTGGCGTGCTAATGAGATGCTGGGTCCTAGCTAGTTCACCTCTTCGTCGTTCCTTCGTTCTTCATCATAATTAATTTTTTTTCGTGCTGATGCGACGACTTTAGAGACGGTTGCCCGAGCTTGACCGTCAATTTTGACAAAATTGCCAACGAATACATATTTAAAAAAAAGAAAACCCCTTAAGTTCGCGGGCGAACATCAGACTTATTGTGGTCGTCGCGATGCGCCTCTCTTCTAATCTAATCCGAAATATTTTTTTTTTATTTGCAACGCGACACGACGTTGACATGCACAATTATACTATACCCATTAAGTCGGTAACCACTTGAATTATATATATATATATATATAAAGCTCGGGCATCCGAAAACGACGATGTCGAAATGATGTTAAATTATGTGCCGGCTGAAGTAATAAGGAGGACGACCGAAAATGCTCTTTTCGTCTCCGTACATTTCAAAAAAAAAGAAGAAGAGTAAGTGTGATGTCAAGTCTTCTTTATTCACCCGCCCCCTTAGATATTGTACTCCACGCGCTCTTGATTGAAATCCAAAATGTATTTTTCTTATCATGAGCGTATACCTGTTCCATATTAATAGAAAACTCATAGACTAATGGAATTTTTCATTTATTTAAATAAAAAAAAGTGATTCTGCACTAGAGCAGTTTCATATTTTTTCACTTCCCTAATTCGATATAATTCAAATATTTCAAAGCGTACGAGAAATATTTGATATTCTTTTAAAAACTCATTGTCAAAATGTACAATTAGAATTTTCAAAACGACTTATTTAGAAGAAAAAATTTTTAATTAAAAAATGTGTGTTTAAAAAAAATTTAGTTGAAAAAAAGAAGAGAGAGAAAGTGTAATTATTAAAATATATATTAAATGAAAAATCATTTAGAAAAATATCTCAAGCACTGCTAAATAGACGAGTGAAAATTGCTCGTCGTGTTTTGGAGCTGTATATGCCAAAAAAAAAATGATAATATATAAAAGCGAATATCATCGTAAAAAAAAAATATCACGTGATATTTATAGTAGACAAATTTTCAAACTGAATCTAAAATTTATTTCCTGTTGAACATTAATGTTTCAGATAGGAAAAAAAATGAGCGAAATGAAAGGAAAATAGTTTCGCGTAATTACTGTCGACGGTTGTTAAAATACACATTAAAAAAAAAACTTGAATATACCAAAAGCCGAAATTTGTTTTTATCAAAAATTTCTGATAATTTAAATTATTTAATCCGTTCTTAAAATATAATTTAATTAGTGTTAATATTTAATTAATTTTATAATTTAAAAAAAGAAACATTTTTAATGACAATCATTTCTGAAAGTCATGCAGTACTTTATATAATGAATTCCATTATTTTAATAAGTAATTGTGTTCTTTTTAATTATCATACATAAAAATAAATAAATCTATTTTCAATTAAAACTTCAAATAAATCAATAAGATAAGTTGTTCAAGTTCATCAATAGAATTTAACAGTTAAAAAATTAATCATTGGAAAAATTTTAAGAAACGTAGATTATAGATGTGTTGAGTAACATTGTGAATAAAATTTTATTTTATACACGATGTATTGCATAGTGGGAAAAAAATGTTTATTATTTCTAAGAGTTCAATATTACATATGCACTCGGTAAAATTTCAATCTTAGTGAATTTAAAAAAAATCCTCTATTAGTAAATTTAATTATATACTTGTTTTCTCTTATAATGAATTTGGTAAAATGTCAGAATAAAATAAAAATTGATAAAAAGAAAGAAGAAAGTAATATTTATTAAATATTTTACGTTTTGTTTCGATACTTATTATTTTATTGGAATAAATATTGTATATTGTTTATAATCAATGATGCAAAATATTAGAAGATTCTTGATGTAACTGTACGTGTATGCTTAAAAATTATGCAAAAAAAAAAAGTTATACATAACATCAGAAGCGTAAAGAAAAATATATTCATGAGAGTATTATCATTATATTTATCATGTTCATATAGAAAAATTGTGATTTGTTCGCTTCTTGTGTTGTTCATATCAAAGAAATTAATGTGCGTCAATTACGTCGACGAACAATGGCACTCGTGTCCACGTTAGTACTTCAGCAATGTCACACGACGTTACCTACTATATAGGCGAGCTGCCCTCTGTACATAAATAAATATATATTATTGACTCTGTAATGAAGTGTATGTAAGAGTTACTTATCCGTGTGAATTATAAAAAAGGGACCTATTCTTATTCGCGGAATAGTAACCAAAAAAAAAGTCACAAATAGTCCGCGCCACCGTGTTGCTGCACGAAACTTGTTGAAAAAGTCTAATAAAAAAAACAAGTGTTTCGAATTTAATGCTTCAAATTCATTAACGCATTGGTAATGTATTTCAGAATAATGCCAAAAAAATTGTCCACATCAAAGTGTATTTCGTTAAATCCGTATTTTATTAATTAATCCATGAGTTGCCATATTGGAAATTTGTTAATTATCTCAAAAATTCTTGAGTAATTTAAACTTTGATGTTAAATTTTTAATTAATATTTTAATTAGTCAAGTTTACGTTTTTTTTTGTCAGTTCCATAATATTTAATTGTTGATTACTGACTTGTGTAAGATTGTAAAAATTAAGTGTTTAACTTGAGGTGAGTATACTTGAATTTCACTTTGATTTTTAAACAAAGAAAATGGTGTATAATTTTAAAGTTCAGGTTAAAGAAAGAAAAATACAATTTTACGAATCCAATGTCCACTGAAAATTGAATTTGAACAGTAATTTCAAGTATAAAGAGAACGGATTAATATATAAACACTATAATCGGTGGACGGGCACTTGTATGTATGTATTGTAACGTATGTATAACAATTATGCCTAATATTATTAATGATTATATTAATAATAAATTTAAAGCATGTTGTGAAAAAAAACGTATAATTGACAAAAAAAAAAAGTTATATGTTATACCTGTACTTCGACAAGGGAAAAGATTATTAAAGGAGACAGGATCAGAAAACACGAAAAATATATTCATACAAACAAAACGTACATTGCAAGATCGTGTAAACGCGGTATAAATAAAGCTATAATTTACAAATTCCTTCTCAATTATTTTTTTACAAATTATACCCAATTTAATTATTATTTGAATTATATTTTATTATTATTTGAATAATTATTAATTACTATTAATTAAATGTTATTTGTTTCAAATACAGAAATTATTGGTTCAAGTAAATATTTATTTGATAATAGTCAAGTAAAAGTAATAACTATTTTTATATTATTTTTTTATATTGTGAAGTCAATGGTTAACAAAACTTTTCGAGAATAAAATAGAAAACAAATTTTTTTTAAATTGTTTGTTGGACAAACGAATGTAATAAATAAAATGTTTCGAAAATTTTAATCTAAAAAAACAATTGCATTCAAATGAAAACAATAGATTATTTGTGGGTTATTAAAGCTTGCTTTAATTAAGCATGAAAATTCAATGTGGATTTATAGTGAAGAGAATAAAACATTTCAGAGATTATTTATTATTCATGAATAAATATGCGGAATCAAAGAATTGATGTTAAATTTTTTTTTTTTTTGAAGTATCAATAGTTTTTTCAAATTAATTTTTTTAATAATTAAATAATAATTTAATAACTTTACAATAATAATTTAATAACTTTACAATAATAATTTAAATTAAAAATTATTTTAAATCAGTTAACTAAAATTATTTCTTTCAAATAAAAATTTTTTAATTTTAATTTTCAATTAAATTTTTTATTTATTTAAATAAGTTAAATTGACTTTAATTATTCGTATAAAAGAAGAACTCTTTTTTAGAACAGTATAAAATGTCATTAAAACTGCAAAATACTTAAATTTTATTTTTAAATAAAGCGTAATGCTATAAGTAGAATTAATAAAATCAGTGTCATAGAATTTTATAATAAAAAGCCAAGAAATAGCCTATTTTATGTTTAACTATAAAAAAGTATATATATTTCTTGAGTTTAATATTTACTATATTAAATAATTATTATAAATGGAGGTAGTCATTTTGTGTGTGGTTACACTATATAACGAATTTATAAATTTCTGCATGTTTAATACAAAATTAAATTGAAAATTATTTATAATTTCATTGAGAAGTTTGTTGTACACTTGAAATTAGAAAAAAAAAATTATAAAAATTCTACTGCGCCTGGTCGTGCGCAACAGTTTTCTTTCACCATAAAACCGCGTGTTTCCGACAGTTCTCTTTCGCCCGTTGTCGGAACGCGTGATATTGCAATTTTCCGTTGCAATAAAATTAAAAGAAATTATCTATAAAATTATAATTATTAAAATTAATTTTGTCTTATTGTGTTTCAAAAAATCAAATTGTCGTTAGTTATTAGAAATTTTTTATTATTTCATGAATTGAAATTGAAAAAATCAACTATAATAATAATAGTAATAATAATAATAAAAAAAAATAGATGTAATTATGTACATAATTACCATTATGTATAAATAAATATACAAATTAAAAATGTTACTCCTATAGATTTATCTAATGAAAAATTTAAAAAAATATAATCCTATAATTTTAAACAATAAATAAATTAATTTATAGAACTCATTTAAGAATTTCAATTAATATATAATATATGTATATAGTAAATTGACAAATTGTAATTAAATTTAATTGTATAAACTGATCGTTATTTGAATAATGTGATATATTTTATTGTTAATACGCAAAAATTTAATGGAAACAGTATCGTAAAGTGAAATGTGAAAATATTTATTTTTGTAATAAAAAAATAATTAATATAAATTTATAAAAAATAAAAACATTTTTGAATACCAGTGACGTAAATGCACATTTGTGCCCGGATTTTTTCGTGGCTATGGGATTTAATCTTCGGTAATTCAATTTATTCAATGCAACATGTAAGTAATATTTACATAACATATTAAAACATTATTAAAAAAATAAAATAAATAATTGTTAAGAATTTGAACAATTAAAAAAAATTAATAAAATTGCAATAATTGTAAAACAACTACTACCTATATAGTTATTAAATTATAATCTAATTTAAAATTAGTAAGAACTATATTTTTAAATTAAAATTATTAATGGAAATAAAATAACTGACAAACGAGTAAAAACAGATATTGTGCAATATAATTTTTTTTATTAAAAAAAATTATTGTCTGTAAGTATTAAAAAGCTGGAGTTTATCTAGATTTACAAGGACAGTTTTCTCGTTTTTTATGATCGTGTATGTATCGTTTAGTATGATCACTTCTTGTTAAAGGATCTCAATAAAGTTGTCAATGTATCTAGTGAAATTTAAAACTTATTTGAAAGAAAAATGACTTCGAAAAAAAATCGATGGTCTCTCTAATTATCTTATTTGTAATTTTATATGACTCTACATTGAAAAAAAAAATTTATTTCAATTAAATAAATTGTATTCGAACTAATAATTTTTGTATTTGAAACAAATACCAATTTAAATGACTCAAATAATAATTATTTGTTACAATAAATATTTATTTCAGTCAAGTAACCGATATATAAAAAATAAAATTTTGTTTAAACAATTAAAAAGAAACTCATCATTAATTTTACCAATAAACGTATTGTTTGATTAATGATATCATATATTCAATTTTATTGTTACTATAAAAGTTCTATTCATTTAATGATGAATTAAATTTTGATAGGAATGTATTTACTGTTGGAGGAGATGTCATATTGAATAAACGAAGAGATATATACTTTCACGGTTAATCTATTTATAGATATACATCACATTTTCATACACGTAAAATTGAAGTGTTACATTTGGAAAATAATATAAATATTTTCAGACAAATGGAAAATTTTATTCTAAAGAAATGATTGAATACTTTTATACTGGTATATATAAATAGATAATTATGTCATCGTATTTTTTAAAATAATTATTAAATTTTTATTGCAAGATTTATTTTTAAATTTTGGTTTTGAGTATTTCAAAAAAAAAGCTAATGTTCCCTTTCTGAAGAAATGGAGTTATTTAAACACAGAACCACCTGTAGAATCGAAAATTTACCCTTTTCAGAAATTATTTTGGTCTACTTATAAGAAAAATAGACGCGAAATTTTAAATAAAAAAAATTTCGAATAAAGAAAATTAATCAGGTAATAATTTATGATGAGAAGTAAGTTTTGAGATCGAATGTATGGCACAGTATGAATTTTAAACAAGTTTCCTTGTATCAGGATAAGGAATAAAAAGCCTTTAGGGATTTTGTTCGAAACCGACTACTATCCCTTTTGGAAGAATTTTATTTTTGTAGCATCGCGATCAAGGGAGCACACCAATCGAGGATAAATAAGCCAGGGTGAATTGGAAAGGGAGTGGCTGACAGTGACTTTTTCCAGTGGAATATTTGACTTTAAGGGGGGAAACCTTTGATCCTGCGATCCCACGGTTAATATAGCTTTCACTACTCTGTAGCTTTTACAGCATTATTGAGAAGTTTTTGTGAAACGTAAGCAATATTTAAAATTCTTTTTATTCGATTTTCATCAAAGTTCAGTTGACTTTTTTCTGAACGCAGCTCATGATATATTTATAGAAACGTTTATCACAAAAGAAAGAAGTTTTTATACAATGAAAGTTATAAAAACACCCTCTATTTTCTAGATGCGAAACTTCATTAATTAAATTATTTATTATTTTACGAAATTTTTTCATAATTTAAAATCTATATTTTACAACAGATAAGGATTTCTCTGTTCTAGAAAGTTTTACGAACCAGAGCAATTTTATTGCTACAGTGCTGTGTCGTTTCAATATTTGCATCCTATTTTGCATTAGTTAACAATCAAATTAGTTTGACTTGCACTCCATTTCCAAAGTTGCAGTTCAACTTTGACAAGAGAGTTCAAAATGAAAAAAATCTCTTAAAATTAAAAAAATCAATGCTAACATGAATTCTTGGATTAATTTCCAAAAATCGCAGGTTATTAAAATAAGTTTTATATTTATTACAAGAATATTATCTAATTCCATCTAACCTCAAAATCTAAGAAATAAAATTCCGTTGTGAGAATTTGTCATACGAATAAATATTTCGAAATTGGGAATTAAAAATAAATTAATTAAAAAATTCTCTCCATTTTGCAGGATGTCAATAACAATATTTTAAATTAATTCCATATGATTGAATTTAGGTAATTAATCCTCTTATGAATTTATATAGAAATTTAATAATAAATTAAAAATGAAAGTGATTAATTTGCATAATAGTTTTCAGTCATTTGCAATATTATATGAAAGGGACATAAAAAAAAAATTTTGAATAAATAAAGCAGCAGTCTCATTTAATCATTGATATGTCAGAATGCCTATGGCAAAAGTCAGTTTTGCATTTTTATAGTGCCTTGAAGGTACACGATAAAGCAAAAATTGATGCTTGCTCTCCCGTTTGAACAAGTAGATATCCTTACTAATCTTTTTCTGTAGCAGACAATTTGTTTTAAAATTAATTACTTTGCTCTATCTCTACAAATATTAATACCTACATAAAATCCTATATGAGAGTTTTGTATCAGATGGAGAAAAAACGGAATTTTTTTTTTAACTATATACGAGTCTTCAATTAAGTACGTTCCCTCTCATATAATTGGATCGGATATTTATCTTTTCACAAAGATTGTGTAAGTGCAAAGCATGATTTTTTAACGAGCTTTAGAAACTGTGAAATAAAATACTGAAGCTTATTCGACTATGAGCTGTGATATTTAATTTATATTATTCATTATTTCAAAATCAATAACTTTATAAATAAAATAATTTAAAGATAAAATAGATATAAATGAGCAATTATACAGAAAAATATTTCGGGATAATTAAAACTGTTATCAAAAATAATTATAATTAAAACCAGAAAATATCTGATATTTTGAGGTTAAGAACTATATCTTTGACATCAGGAATCTCTGAATTTTTAATATTCGCTGCAAAGACATTTTTGGAAATGTTTTGATATTGATTTCCCAAAATAAAAAAGTAATAATTTGTAAAAACACTCACTGGACGTTGATTTTCTGGTCGGATCTGGAATCAGCTTCAAATCTGAAATGTAATTTCCTCGATTCTTCACTCCACTCCGTCATGGATATTCTATTAAAAAAATCACTAACACAAAACCACACTATTTTAAATTGTTATCATTGCTTACAATTCAACACAAAACAACAAACACAACACAAAACAACTGTCAGTGATAAACCGAGCACAATCCACCTGTAGCATGTACTTTTACAAATATGTACACTTTTCTTTATTTTCCCGACTTTTTTCTTCTCTACGTATTTCCACATCACACACTTCGACAGGTTACATATTTTGTAACAAATATCATAGAACACTTTTTAATTGCGACAAGAATTTACATAATTATTCACAAAAAATGAAAAAGCTCCGAAAAAAGCTCTGTGAATGTCTTCTGCTGCTTCTTAATACGCGTTTTCGCCACTAGATGCCGTCACCACTCAAGTTCTATGTTGCACTTGCCGGAAAGTAATTATCACGTCAATTTTCAATCAAATATTTGAAAAAAACACTATCAATGACAGAATGTGATTAAAATTCACTACCCGTACTAGATTTATAACTCTTTTGTGTTAAATACGCGGGCCTTGAACTCGAGAAAATTCGCGGACTTTGGATGAAGAAAACTATTGTTCCGGTATTTCGGTGAGTATTAGTGATTGCATCCTCATATTTCTTTCTTCTTCGTTTTCACTTCAAGTATTTACACTGATTTTAATTAAATATAACACGGAATATTTAATAAAATTACTACACGGTCTACACAATATTTGCGATTTACCTTTGCGCGCGCGAATAACTACTGAAATATAAACTAGGTCACCACCAGATGGCACTTCGATATATTTTAATCAGGATTGCCAAACTAAAACATTTTTTAGCAAGTCAATTTGACTGTAGCTCTCTGGGATTTTCGGTTTACAAAGTTGGTATTGAAGATGCAAAATCTTCAGGTTTAACGGTTTTAGTATGTGTTGTCCATTATTGTGATTTCGTTGCTCAAATCGACAAGATAGTAGTCAACAATAATATTTAAAGTTTATATAAATGGTGTTTGAAATTGTTACGAATGATGGCGTCAGGAAAACTCGAGCCAATTGTTGTCCTTTGTTACTTTGCTCCAAGAAGTCTGAAACAATTCACGTCTACCTGGCAATAGGAGTGTGTTTATTTACCTCAAGAAACACGTAACACTGCAATGAGTTTAGTTTACTTTCCATTCCGATCGTGTTTGTTTCTGTAAATCTTCAGTTTATGCATCTGACGATATCTGAAGGAGATACCGGCATTCTATAGGTATTGTATTAATTGAATATAAAATTTTATTAAAATTGATTTAGAGGTTAATTTTTCCATTATTAGTTTAGCTTAATTGTTTGCATTTTTAATAATAGAGATTTTCTCCCCAGTGCTTCTTTTTTTCATTGTTTTAATTAAATACATTCTTTTTCGAAAGTTTTCCACTATATTTACAATTATTTGTAAAATCATGGCCTGTCCTTGTAGAAAATCTTTCAATTGATTCACGTTTTATAAGCTATATAATAAAGAAAGGAAAAGGAGAATAAAATGTAAAGAATAGAGACTGTTTGTGTTGGGGTAATTTAATTTAACAAACTATAGACCTAGTTATTTATCTGACTTCATTTATGTTCTTTATTTTTTTAGCATTGTTTGTTTATGTTGTGAGTAACTACAGAAAAAAAATATAACATGACTAGTTTCTATTTTCAAGTACGAACAATATATTTATTCTTTTTCTCTTGATGTTGAAAAGCATTTTGTCTTTTGTGCAAAAAAATAAATTTTATTAAATTTTCTAATGCGTACGAGGATATTTAATCCACAAGAGCCTAACAAAGAGAAACATTTATTATGATAAAATCAGTCTTGTTATATTTCCAAGCACGTGTTTTTCTTAATGATTTTCAAAGTTTTTATACACACACGTGTATAACTTATACGTTCCAACTAGAGCATTAATTACATTTAATATTATAATTTTTATCTAAAAAATAATATAATTATTTGACGAATATTTAATTATTAATAATTTATTAATTCATTATTATTAATTAATTAATAATAATTAAATAAATAATCGGTGAATTTACTTGTAGAAAATAAATAATTGATAGACTTTTTAAGAAATTTTACTGATAATAATGAAATATTCTAGTTCACGAGTTTGCAAAATTATTGAATGAAATCAGAAATGGAGTACAATGCGATAGTATGTATATAAGCTATACGTATTTAAGGGCATTCCATTTCTGTTATATATTACGTTAAATTCATTGTGTTAATTATATTTAAAGAGACAATTTTTCCTGGGGACGTGTAAAATAGTTACAATAAATTATAATAGAAGAGATCAACAAACATTCAATGGAAACTTTTTTTTACATTAGACACATTGTAATGATATTATACTCGTAAGATTACATATAACTACAATGAAAAGCAAACGTGAAAAAATACAACTTGTTAACTATAATGAAACTTTACACATGTTTGGAATTAGAAAACAAGACAATAAGGTTCGTTGTCGAGAAAAAGAATAAATAAGTCTCGTGATAGTCTCTTAAAAAAGTAATTTTAATCTTAAAGGAAAATCAATTAATTTTTAATTTTGTTACCTTTTCCTTTCTTTTCAAATAATGAAAAATGGAATCAATTATTCAAGTCGATTGTTTTCCGATTAAATATAAATTTTATAAAATTAAGTATATTAAATATACCAGAGTAGGAATTATTCTTGTTGTAAAATATCTAATACTTAATATTGTTTAGATAATAATATAATTTGTCTAAAAATTTTAATGAATGCAATTTATTTAATAGGTACGACAATTTTAATTGTTTGAGGAAACTAATTATTGGTAGTCACATACAATTTAATGGATTACAATTATACATATGAACGCTTTATGTGAAGCTTCTTCAGTAATTAAATTATAATAGTATTTGAAGAAAGGACATCCTTTATGAGGATTAAAATCTCTCTTTAGTTCGAGGTTGCAGTCTCTATAGTGTGGTCAAAGGAAACTGGAACATTGTATCTCACGATAAGAACTACAAACAGTATTATGTTTAACGTATGTATATGAAATGGGAATTGAGGATATACAAAGGCTTTTATGTGTAAAAAAAAAATCTTCCATACGATCGTAGGAAATTTGCATATTATTCTCAAAACTACAAATTTTTTTCTTCTATTTTACAAACGTTTTTTTGAGGTAGGAGGATTTTTTTAAAAAATATTTTCTTAATATTTCCATAAAAAAAGAATCCGTTTCGCATAAAATTTATTTTCAAAAGATTTTTATATCTTACCCAATTTTTTATTATTTTCGATAAAAAGGAAGCGAGATTCATTAATTTATCAATATTTCTTTGAGAAGGAATTAAATTGAGATATATATGTGTGGCCTTGCGATGGCAATATAGAACTGAGGAAAACGTCGACCGCTGTTAGAGTGACGTTTTCATTAGAACAACGAAATAGGAATCCTCAATAATGACTTCACAGGTCGAAGGGTTGTTTTCCCTTTAATCTCCTTTTAGAAAATGTAGGTGTTTTCAGAAAAAAGAGACCAAGTGCATCCTTATGTTGAGTAGAAGGAATTTTTTTTTTAAATCTCTCTCTCAAAGTTTACTAATTGGAATCAAATAAAAAGAAAAATGATTTTTTTTCTAAACAAATGTTTGCAATAGTAAATAACACTGTTTTAAATCAAGATGATATAAACAATTATATGGTACAAATCCGTTTTTCCATTCGAGTGATGAAGTGAGAGTATTGTGCAAATCGGTCAATTTTCTAGAGTAGTGAATCGTGCTTACAAATTGAATTCTGATACAATCTTTCTGCAATACGTTTTCGACTAGAAATGAAAAAAAGAACAATACCACTAAAGTTTACATCTTTTGGCACTAGATTTTTTAACTTAAAAAAAAACAATAGAAAAAATCTCATTTTTTATTATATTTTGGTAAATTTATTTTTTCAAATTTATAACGATTGAAAATATTGCTGACAACAAATATTTTAAAAAAATTAATTAATATTTAATTAAATTAATTAAAAAATTTGAATTTAATCCGGAAATTAATATTTCGGTGAAGTGAATAAAATTTGTCAAACGATTAAAAATAATCATGTCTAAATATCGATGTTATTTCGATAGCACAGTTTTCCTTGAGTAAAGGAAGAGAAATAGTAATCTCATTAAATTGATATTCAACGAAGTTTGTTAAAGCAAAGTGGTGAAGTGCATCAATAATTTAACTTATTAAATGTCGTAAGTTCTTCAAGGATGAAAAGTAATAAAAATAATTTCACTCATGAAAAAATGTACCGGTTCTCTGGACTATTTTCTATTATGCGATCTTAACAAACACGCAGAATTCTAAATAGAAATTTATGTTGGTTTTTCTTTTTCACAAAAAAAAAATTAATTCTCCAAAATAAACATAAGGCTTGTGTAGATATATTTTCGTATATTTCTGTCGAGTTGTATATTTTCCTAGTTTTATATGAACAGATTCGCGAACAAGTAAAATAAATGGTTTTTTTTTTAATCATTTCAATGTTTTTAATTCGCGAGAAGAATCGTTGACGATCGATGATTAGTGAAGTTTCAAGGTACTATATAAGCGTCCGAATAAATATTTGCTCTCATATAAAGCAGCTTGGGGTATCAAATGTTCGCTTGCGAGTGGCGGAGAGAAATGTTTATTTTGCTCACACTAGAATCCTAATAAGGCTGCACCCTCGAACATAAACATAATATATATCGTAAAAACAATTTATTCCCCTATAATTTCAGTTATTAAACAATTTCAATAATCCTTGATCACAAATAAAATATATAAGATTTTTTTTATTCTATCAATATTATTTATTGAAATTAAATTATTCAAACTATCCATCAAAGTTGTTGAAATATTAAAATAAAGTTACGCTAATTTTCACATCTATAATTTTATTTTTCTTCTAATAAATTTTATTTACGTAGCCTTCAATGTCTCAGTAATTCAATTATAAAAGAGTTATTTTGCAGGAAAGGGAATTTCTACTTTCCATTTCTACTCTATCTTATATTTTATTCTATATATAATAAAGTGGTGACAGTGATGTATTATTCTCTATCAACAGGTAAATGTTCTGACTTAAGAAGTAACTTTTTAATACATGAGTTAGTTCAAAAGAAATAGTAAAATGTTATTGTTAAAATGAAAAAAAATGTTATTTCTTTTATTTTGAAATAGTATTTTATTTTAATTCAAAGATTTATTTGTATTTTTATTTAAAAATATGTTTACTGCACA